ACTGCTTCGCTTTAAGTTCATGTTTATGTTGTACTGTGGTGCGGTTTTCACGAATTTGTTGGACATGATGTCAGCGTCCTATAAAACGTTAATCATTCAGATCGTTTATTCGTTTTAAACTTTTCTGTTCACATATTTGAAAATTCTGTTGTTGAACTGACTGACCACTCGCTACCACAGGCTCATTGGGTCAAGCCGCTGTAATGATTAGGGCTGGATATCGTTAAGAAGTTGCCGATACGATACATACCTCGATACACAGGCCACAATACGATACACATCTCGATACGGCGCACTTTCGTTTCGATACGATATATTTCAAATCAATTCGATACAATTCAATAAAATTAAAGGCTAAATCATGTCTGTGACACTAAAAGTCTTTGTTAAACCACTTCTTGTGCAAAGTTCATATGAAACACAAACATTTTAATCATCAAAACTGTGAAAATGTCAAATGTGTCGCATAAAAATTTAATCTAGACAAGAAATTTTTTATCAGGATGTGAGTAAATTTCACTTGACAAGTAAAATTATCTATCAGCAGAATAAAACTTGTTGTACTTAAAATATGAAAATACCACTTGCAACACTTAAAATAAGAAAAACGACTCTTTGCACTTAAAATAAGAAACAAAATCGAATATTGCTTGAATTAAGAAAAACACACTTATTTATTGGTAGAATCTACTCAAAGTCATTTTAGAAATCACTTTTTGCAGTGTGAACGAGTTTCCTTTTTCTAAACAAGCAACAAAACTGTAGCTCTGTACCAAAATAATGGAGTAAAATATACCAAAAAATACTCTTGGCGATACCGATACAGCAGCCCACGATATCGATACTGCATCATCACATTAAACGATACGTTATATATCTATTTCAATATTTTTGCACACCCCTAGTAATGACGCAAATGAAAAGCAGACAAAAAACTCTAAGACATCATTTTATTAAACTTGGATATCGGTGGATAATTTTGACATCATAACATTCAGACGTGAGAAAGTGTTGCGGGTGAATAAACAGCGATGGCAAAACAAGGAGCTGGTGCAACCTGAGACGTAACTGGCTCTGGCCTCCCCGCGGCTACAGAATATGTTATTATGAGGGCAGATTAAACCATTAAGATCTAAACACGGCATGATGTGTTGTTCTAAAGGGTGTCAGCAAAAGTCAAACCACGTAAAAGTCTACAAGAGCCAGCCGACCAGAAAAGCGGTTTGAATCATACACTGTACAGAGCTCCAATAGGACTTGTAATGTTAACCACTCTGCCGCATAGCATCTCTTGTTTGTTTGTAAACATTAAACCCGTCTATTAGGAACAGGACAAGATCTTGCGAGACAAAATTGCCACCGTATTTTTCAGACTATTGCTTCTTTCGCTCCAAAGTACAAGTTGCACCAGCCAAGAAATGTGTAATGAAGAAGAAAGATCATAAGTCGCACTTTTTGGGGGAAATTTATTTTATAAAATCAGAGACCAGGAACCGACATTTCATTTTAAAAGTCAAGTTCTAGTAGTAACAATAGAGGAGAGAAAAACAGACTGTTAACGTCACATATGAACAGTTCTTCAGATAAACTATAACATAAACAACAGAACAGAACAAGTTTAACCAAACTCTCCATCTCACTCCAAATCACTAAATCCATTCAATTCTTCATCCTCGGTGTCACTTCTGAGCAACTCCGTGACCTCCTGAGGTAAACAGAGCGCCGCTTCCTCTTCTGTGTCGCTGTCGTCAGACTCTGCATCAGTTCCAGTTAGAATTATTCCGGCCTTTCTGAATCCCGACAGGATGGTTTTGTTGTCACTGAAGTCCAGGCTTTGTCGATCCATCCAGTGACTCCAGGAAAGTTTCATGTTGCACACTCCCGGTTGCCGTGAAGCTGTGTTCTTCATCCCCACTTTCTTTCTGCTGTTCAATTACCGTTTTCGGCTGAATATTTCACTACTTGCAGCAGGACAGAGGCTCTTTCTGCAGGAGACATGCGCAGTAGAGTGAAGTGAGTAATAGTAGTACTTGATACTGACACACAAAGCTAGAGCGCCCTCTTGCTGTTGTCAGTGTGAAAATTTTAATATATAATTCGCACCGGAGTTTAAGTCACAGCACCACCCAAACCATGAAAAAAGAGCAACTTATAGTCAGAAAAATACAGTATTTACATTTGGATTGAGCAATAAAGGGTCACATGTTGGTGAGTTACATCTCTTTTAGTTTCAAAAAGCAGCAATAGGATGTAAACAAAAATATGAAATCAATTAAATACAAAATTGTGACGCCAAAATTAGAAACTGAATCTTGAACTTTGATATATTTGGTATCATGTTAAAATCGTATCTTGTCTCGTTTTCGTGGACCCCGTTTCGTATTATTCCATCTCATCTTGTGGATTTGTGACTCATCCCATCCTTAATAAATAACGATTTAGTAAAATAGAACATAATCGTAGCTGCATATCTTCTCACAGACCAGTATTTTCCTCTCACTGAGAGAAACTCCCTCTTTTTCACGAGCGCTCTGTTCATTACAAAATACACATGAGTAGTAATAAAAATAACTCATAAAAACAAGATATAATAAAATGTTCGGTATATCAAACCAAGTAATTTTTTATTGTGCACGAAGAGAGGTTTTAAGAGGTGAGGTCCGCTTGTTCTGTTTCGGCATCTGTTTCAGTTTACTATAATTCTTTTATTCGTGGTTTTCGGGCATAAGGATTCCTTTTTGATTCGGAGGATTTGGCCACAGACCTTCATTGTTATAGATAATGCTCTTCAAATCAAAACATCGCTCTTCAACGGGGAAAGTTCCTCAGAAAACCTTTTTTTAAATCCAGGAAGGAATCTTTGGCGTCAAACCCATGAATAGAAATATTGTTGTTGTATAACCGACGTAACAGTGGCGCATCAAGGGGAGTTTTGGTATGTGAAGTGCTTTTGTCCTGGTATTTGAAATCAGGCTGATCTAATTTATCTATTATATTATGTAGAGTTCTGGGTGGGATAGTTAAAAAATGTCCCTTACCTTGGAAATCCACCAAGTTTGTGGCAGTGGTGTAAAATTCTCATTGAGATTTTCATCAAAACTAGATCCATCACGGTTTCACTTCGTAGAAACCGTCTGACCTCGCAGCATTAGGATTTGTTTGTTTTTTTATTTAACCAATCTCTGCTATTTGGTATGTAATGCGCCGCTAACAGGACTAACTGGTATATTAAGCTTTTCAAAAATCCCGTAGGAAGAAGGGCAATAACGTCTTTCCTAGGGATGTAACAATAACCAAAATATCGTGATATCGAATCGTCAAAGTTCTCAGAATAATATCATGGACCATCACAATATATCGAATTACAAGTCTCTTTGCTTAAATTAAGAGACCATGATCCTTTGCTCCATTTCAGCGGAGACTACAAGAAGAAATAACAGTTCTAACACTTTTAAGTCTAAGTTCTTTGGGTTAAATCTTGTAAAAGCATTTTAAGAGGAAAAAGTAGCATATTAAATTTTGTTGGCCTCCACAAAATACCGCAATGAATATCGTATCGTGAGATGTATATCGTGAAAATATCGTACAGAGAGATTTGGATATTGTTGCATTCCTGATCGTGAGCCTCCCCACCATATCGTGAGCTTTCCCACAATATCGCAATAAATATCGTATCGTGAGGGTCATACCGTGATGATATCGTATCGTGAGACTTGGATATCGTTACACCCCTCGTCTTTCCCCTTGATAAAATTCACCAAACATTCTCTTTGTTCCTGCTTTAAATCCTCGATCTCGGGAATCGTTGCCAACACAGAATGTATGGCTCTTCGCTGATTGGCTGGTGCCTAGACTCTGGGGTTTTTGCGAGCCGTCTAGTGTATTTTGATTCCTGACCAAGTCGCTAGAGAGAAATGAAATTGAGCGGAGGCACTAGGTCACGCCAGCCTGGCTAAATCAAAACAATATGTTATTAGATTCTTTTTTCAGACCAAGAGTTTGTTTTCATTCCTGACAGTTTTGACTGCTCCATTTGGTCTTCCTCAGAGTCACGTGATGTTGCTGTGTCGTGTCGCTCATCTGATTTAAACAGGTTTTGGCGCTGTCTTCCTACCGGTGGAGGCAGGACGACAGCGCCACCTGCAGTCCAGCTTCATCAGGACAGTGTCGCAAGTGTGTGACAGTAAGAAAGCCCCTCGTCCCGGTTTATCGTCCCGTGGGCACGTTTTTATATTTCGATTGCCTCTTTCATCCAGCGGCGGTGTTTGTTTTCCTCTGTCCCAATGGTGTTTGCTCCGTCCCAGTCCATAATGTGACCACTAGAGAGCCGTCAAAACTGTCAAGTATGAAAACAAACTCTTGGTCTGAAAAAAGAACCTAATAGCATAAATTATCAGAAGACCAAATGAACCTCACTGGACTAAATCAAAACAATGTTAAAAAGTAAACAATAGAGTGGTGGAGCAACTTGATAAACTGCTAAATATATCGGGTAAATCATATCTATTCGCCTTATTCCGGAAGTTTCTGTGGGTGTCGCCATCATCATTCCGGTTGTATTATTTTGTATGCGGTCGACCTTGAGAGCGAAGAAGTTCAGTATGAATGATAAAGACGTTTTAAAGCCTCCAGAGAATCAGTGCAGTGTGACTTGTTGGTGCACGTGAAAACTGAACACACACAAATGAATCAACTTTATGTCATATTTAAGATTCCAAACATTTCCCAAATTCTGCATTGACATGAGTGGGATTTCTGTTTAACCAGAATTGCCGCCACAAAAAAGCGTGATTTTAAAAGTATTTAGAGGCAAAATGGGGCGAGGCAGAATAAGTTGGATTGCATCAGGACATTTTTTAATCTCCACTGGTTTAACCTTAGGCTTCCTGAAAGTTCTGCGGTTTGATTGGCGCAATCTCAAGCTCAAATTTAAGTATTTTTTTTGCTCTCACACTAAAACTCTTTCTTCTCCTCTTCTCCTTGTGTACTTGTCCCCGCAGGTAATGGACTCCCGATGCGCTACCTCCGCCTGCTGGCCCCTCCGCTGCAGCTCCTGTCTGCCACCATGTGGCAGGTCGTGCAGCAGGGCCTCGTGCAGCATTACGGGATGTTGGAGGAGTTCGTTACCATGGTGACGGAGCTGGTTCCGGAGCTCATGAGCTTCAACCAGAGAGCGCAGCTGATCCTGGGGCTGCGGGCCAGGGTCAGTCACACACACAACTCTGTCATATATTGTGTTTTTTTCAGTAATAGTAGTAGCAGTAGTAGTATAATCTGCAGCAGTACTATCAGCAGTAGTAGTAGTAGTAGTAGTAGTAGTAGTAGTAGTAGTAGTAGTAGTAGTAGTAGTAGTAGTAGTAGTATCAGTCGTAACAGTTGTTGTAGTAGTTGTAGTAGTAGTTTGTAGTATCAGCAGTAGTAGTAACAGTAATATCAGCAGTAATAGTAGAATTAGTAGTAGTAGTAGTAGTAGTAGTAGCAGTAGCAGTAGTAGTAGTAGCAGCAGTTGTAGTAGTAGTAGCAGCAGTTGTAGTAGTAGCAGCAGCAGTTGTAACAGTAGTAGTAGTAACAGCAATATCAGCAGTAATGGTAGAATCAGTAGTAGTAGTAGAAGCAGCAGTAATTGTAACAGTAGTAGTAGAAGTATTATTGGTAGTATCAGTAGTAACAGTTGTTGTAGTATCAACAGTTGTAGAAGCAGCTATAATTGTAACAGTAATAGCAGTAGTAGTATCAGTAGCAGTAGCAGTAGCAGTAGCAGTAGCAGTAGTAGTAGTAGTAGTAGTAGTAGTAGTAGTAGTAGTAGTAGTAGTGTGTTGCGTTCACACTTGTCTTGGTTTGATTCTGGTTTGGGACTAGTTTGAGTAGATTTAGATCGGTCCCCTTTGAGTCTTGGTTTAGTTCCGAGTTTCCCAGTTTTCATGTGGTGATTGTGTGAACACTTCCTTAGAAAAGACGACAAAATATTCTAGAAACTACTATTAATTTGTGTATTTGAGTATTAAATCAAGGTTGACATTTTGCTATCATCACAACAATTTTATCACACTTTCTTATTTATTTCCTTGTCTTATTATTTCCTCTAGTGGCTGTAGTGGTTTCCAAAAGTTGTCCTTAAAGCTCCTTGTTGCGCGGGGGCCATTTGCTCGTCATATATTAACCAAATTTTTTCTCCGTATTTCGCAGCTCGTTCTGGAAATGTGTAGAGGAGAAGAACCACTGGACACAAATGATATTCAAAACCACCTGGACAGAATCAAAGCCCTAACCACCGCCAAGGAGCAGCCGGTAAGTTTAACTCCGCATTAAACTTGTGTGTTCATATTCGTGCTCATTGAGTGTGTATACATGCACATCAATAACCCGGTTATGATCGGGTTTTTTGAGTATCCCGGTTTCTTGATGGTGCATGTATACGCAGTAATCCGGTTTCAGTAACCCGGTTATGGCAGTATCCCGGTTATTAGAAACCGGGTTACTGTAGCTGGTTTATTCCGATAGTAACCGGGATACTTGTGGCATGTAAACGCAGTACCCCGGTTACTGCAACATAAAGTTGAGTGCACATGCATCCAAAAGACACTTTCCAGCCTCTCACCACAACAGTAGTCACATAAATAAATTGACCAACATAAATAAAGTGGCCAAACGAGTGAAATTATGTAAAATTAAGAGCTGCGCTAAACCTGCACTCGTACGACCTGCACTCGTGTGACGCTGAAAAGCTAAAACATGAACTATCTCCTATACACTATACGCACGAAACACACTTACCATCATTAGCGCCTCTTCTGTCACAGAAATAACACACATAATCCACAGAGTCGTGTCATTTAGTCCAAAAGAAACTGATCACATCAGCAGCGCAAGGAGCGAGTTGTTTTTATCGCCGCTAACAGTTTATGCTAATTAGCCAAACGGTCTTAAGTTTCGTTTCTGTAAAACGTAAACAAATGTGATCACAGCTGAATTATCTGATCAAACGGGCTGATGTGTCTATAGTCTTTATGGTTTATATGTTGTAAAGTTGAGTTTATTTATGCAGAAGATTTTAATGAAGAATCTGCACAGTGGATTGTGGGAGATCTCGTAGCTCCTTAGCTTCTTATGCTAAAGGAGCTCATGGTTTGTATTTTTTCTGGTTTATGAAATTGATTTAAGTTAATTTTTGCACCTGCGCATTTGTAAGATTATGTCAAGAAACCGGGATACTCCATTTGATCATGTATACAGGAATATGAGTGTCCCGGTTTCTCAGTGCGCATGTAAACGCAGTAACCCGAAATACTGACATAACCGGGATATGGCTAATAACCGGGTTACTGATGTGCATGTATACGCACTCATTGTTTGTAATTATTAGTTTTGCCTGAAGTGCGTGTGACAGGTTTTTATATTTATCTAATTTGTGACTTAACCTGTTGAGATAATAATACCATTGTAAATATAAATTAAATTTTTACGCCGATCAAGAAGCAATTTGCAAAGAAAAGTTGAAAAATAAGTTGGAAAAAAATTACAAGAAGTGGAGAGTCCCATTTTGATAACGTCACACTGGGAGAATTCTGTCCAAACATTTCTCACACTTTACACTCATAAAACTATAATGAAATCTGGAAGGTGAACCCAAGATGACGTCGTATTGTTTTCAAGTGCCAGAAGTGCCGCGCTGTAGGTTTGTGAAACTTCCAGTTAATGGTTTTCTGTGGCAAAATATCTGTGGAAATGTCTCGTGTATTCTCAACCAGCTTCATAAATCTGCCCCATCACCAAATCTTCAATCACCAAGTTCAACAGAGGATAAACATTCTAACATGAAGAATTTATCCACAACTATCAAGGTAAGAAAGACGAAAACGTAAAGGCGAACAACGACGACGTATTAGTGACACACTGAGCCAAACTAACCTTATGGAAATGAATAAAACAGAAGTAACTTGTTCACTCAGACTGATTCTACAATTACAATTAAAAATCTATTTCATGATGTCAGTATTAGTATAGATAGATAGATTTGTGTAGTTCAAATGCGAGACATCTCTATTATACCATAGTTTTGGTCAGTAGTTCACTAATGCGTCGTCGTTGTTCGCCTTTAAGCTTTCGTCTTTCTTACCTGATAGTTGAGGATAAATTCTTCATGGACAGAATGTTTAGAAGATTTGGTGATGGGGCAGAAGTTTTTATGAAGCTGGAGGAGAATACACGAGACATTTCCACAGATATTTTTCCGTAGAAAACCATTAACCGGAACTTCGGCAAACCTACAGCGCGGCACTTCTGGCCGCCGTGAAAAAGGTCTCACGGCACATCGGCCCAAAGATAATTCTTCAGCGAGCTAGACTAAGTCTTACAAAGCAAACTTTTAGGTGCTTTGAGGACTTAGTAATAAAACAAAATTGTTGTGAAAATAGAAAAGAATCCCTACAAAATCCGACCTTTGGGAAAGCCGGATCCCCTGTCAGAACAGAACGGGCAGTTTGAATTTCCAAAAACCGCATTGCGCTCTGTGAAAATTCTTTCTGCGCCCCAGCTCACAGCAGCTGCAGTACTTGGAGTGGCCAGTAGTCGGTCTCGAGCTGGGGCAGAGGGGGAATGCCTTATCCAGTTTTTATTATAGGTCCATGTTTACACTCAAGAAACACACTAGTTCAAGCATAATAAAGGTTTTTTTCTTGTACTTAAAATGTACAAAAATGGTGGGGCCAAAATGGGGAACTGGAAATCTCGTCTCGTTCTCGTAGATCCCATCTTGTGTCTCGTTTTGTGGAACTTGTTTCCCATCCCACCCCTACTCATGTGTCATAGGCACATTATATAACTGTAACTGTGCATTTCTTCTCAGGATAACCTCGATCGTGTAGAAGAGTCCCAAATGAAATTTGTGGAGCTCGTACAGTCGTTATTAAAGGATTCTGCAAAACGAAATCAATTTTTTCAGGTAAGTTGTTTCACGTGACAGTTAAAAGTCCCATATTCCACTGTAGTTTATGATTTTTCTGTTGTTTCCTCATCAAAAACATACCTGGAGTTTTTAAATACGCACAACAATTAATTTGTCGTAATATAGGATCTTTTAAAATGTCTCTAGCGTAAAAAATCTGAAGACTGTCAAATCTTATTTTTAGTGTGAAAATCATTAGAATTGTAAGAAATCGCATTGATTATTAACGATTATGGACCATTATCAATCCTTAAAAGATGCCATACTTAAATCACACAAACTCTGGAAATCATGAAGGAGCTGTTAACTTGAAAACTACCTCTTCATGACATCACAAGTTGGAACAGAGCATTTTGAACTTTGGAGACGCAGACAGACTAGTAATAAAGTGTTACTCAAACATGTGTGAATGAAACAAAAAACACAACTCCGGGTCTGTTTTTAATAAAGTAACATCATTATAACACGGCTTAACGCTCACAAGAATCCATGTTGCGTAATAATGACATTTGTTTTGTGTTTTTGTTCGTAGGAGATCTTCCCCGATTATTACGGGCCAAAGTTCGACACTGCTCTGGAGATGTTGGTCTGGGAGTTCATCACGAGGCTGGAGGAGCTTCTGCCCGCTCCAGATTTCACACAGGTACACTTTATTCTCATGTACTCGCCGGATTAAAGTGTTAATAATATAAAGCTTTGTGTGTATTTTTAAAAGGAAAGCAGCCGATACGCTAAAAAGTCCAAATATCGGCCTGGTGTATCGTTATATATTGGTCTATATTGGTTATAACACTTTAACTAAACATCAAAAACATGCCTGAAGTGGTTTTAGATGTCGTCCATGCATGTTTGAGTAATTTAGCGAGCTCTCCCAGACCCTATTCAGTAAGATTCTGTCCAAAGCTCCGCCCACAAGCCTACGTCACCCACACAGAACTCTCCATAAATATATAAAAAATACACTTATCATTTCACAAACTTAATGGATGTGCAGTAGTTTAATTAGCAATGGGAAGTGACTTGAAGTGCAGGAAGGAATACCGGTTCGAGTGTCCCAATCACAAAATAATGGTGGATTTGAGCATTATTGAACATTAATGAGGATATTTTATTGTTGAGTGATCATGTCTCTGAACTATTAGTATTACTTAAGTTTTAAGCAATGAAAAACAGTCACTGAAGCAGCAATAAAAGATCCATAAGTTGCCTATTTCTTTTCAACATTCAACTGGACCAGCAAAATTGGAACAAAATAGTCAATAAAATAATTTAGAAAGATTAGAATTTATACAAAACATGTCAAGATTTCTGATGAGATAGGAGGGCCTGTCTGTGTTTTTGTAGCGTGTTCCAGTTCGCACAACAGCAGATCAACTCTATATTGCAGACCTACATGCTAGGGTTTGGGCGGTATCCAAATTTTGATACCGTTAAACCTTCTCAGGATTTTACTGGGGTATGCAGTATTACCGTATTACCAAAATGTTTTAGTACGACTTTGGTAAACTACGAAGTCGCACCTCTCACCTGCAGTCATATAATCTCTGAAAAGTTGCACATGAACCATCTCCAACACGATACAAACACAGAACAGACTCACCATCAGCAGCACATCCTCTGTCGCAGAAAGAACACTCATATTCCACGGAGTCGTGTCCTTTAGTCCGATAGAAGCTGAACCGCATCAGCGCACAAGGAAAGAGCTGTTTTTAATCAGCGCTAATAGTTTATGCAAATGAGCCGCGTCGTTTTAAGTTTCGGTTCTGTAAAATGTAAACAAATGTGCATCTTGTCTTGGTCTCCCTTATGAGCGTCACATGACAACGGAACGAAACTAATCCAATGTCGTCTCCCCACACAGTTAAAAGAAACATTATAGACACTATTAGTTTTAAATCGTGATAGAATTAAATTGAAAATACAACCACACATTAATCTGTGCTGAGCAAACACATTTAGGTATCAATAAATTATAATATTATATCAGGTCCTAATACACTGCAGATTTTTTTTTTAGTGACGATAATGAAACTGATACCGTTGCTACTTTTTGACACCGCGGGACACTGTAATACTGTATTACCGCCCAACCCTAATTCATATGAATATACACTACCGTTCAAAAGTTTGGGGTCACTTAGAAATGTCCTTATGTTTTTAAAGAAAAGCCCTGTTTTTTCCATGAAGATAACTTTAAACTAATCAGAAATACACTCTATACATTGCTAATGTGGTAAATGACTATTCTAGCTGCAAATGTCTGATTTTTGGTGCAGTATCTACACAGGTGTACAGAGGCCCATTTCAAGCAAATGTCACTCCAGTGTCCTAATGGTACAATGTGTTTGCTCATTGCGTCAGAAGGTTAATGGATGATTAGAAAACCCTTGTGCATTCATGTTAGAACAGGTGAAAACAGTTTAGCTGGTTAAGAGAAGCAATAAAACTGGCCTTTCTTTGAGCAGGTTGAGTATCTGGAGCATCACATTTGTGGGATCAATTAAATGCTCAAAATGGCCAGAAAAAAAAAGAACTTTCATGTGAAACTCGACAGTCTATTCTTGGTCTTAGAAACGAACGCTTTTCCATGTGAGAAATTGCTAAGAAACTGAAGATTTCCTACAGCGGTGTGTTCTACTCCCTTCAGAGAACAGCACAAAAAGGCTGTAAGCAGAGTAGAAAGAGAAGTGGGCAGCTTGACCGTACGGTACGCAAGAAGTGCCCATCCTGTCAATCCAACTTGTGGGAGGGGATTCTTGAAGCGTGGAATGCCAAAGGTCTGCAAAGCTGTAATTGCTGCAAATGGAGGATTCTTTGACGAAAGCAAAGTTTGAAAGAAAAAAAATATTATTTCAAATACAAATCATTATTTCTAACCTTGTCAATGTTTTGGCTATATTTTCTATTCATTTTACAACTCATGGTGGTAAATAAAAGTGTGACTTTTCATGGAAAACACTAAATTGTCTGGGTGACCCCAAACTTTTGAACGGTAGTGTAGATTAACTAACTTAGTTTCATAAAAGGTACAATTCAGGGGGACTTTTCAGAATGCCACAATGAGTGTCAAAAACAGTTAACACTCAATTCCTCATAGACGTTTAATAATAATCCTTCTAAATAGTATGTTCTGTTGATGTGGTTTGACATGGATGATTGAAGCGCGTGTCCTTCTCGTCTCGTCAGGTGGCGGCTCTGCTCGGTGACGCCCCCTGTCTGCTGGAGGAGTGTCTGCAGTCTTTCTTCGCTCCAGAGGAAATGAAGGCCGTGGTGGAACATCACAGAAACCTGGGATTCTTTGAGGAGAAAGGTGAAAGAGAAACGACCCGACTGCTTTACACATGTCCAATTGATACTTTGCAGAGGGGTGTTCTACGTTTACGTCTATGATGGAATGTTTGGGAGTTACCGTGGTGATTTAATGTACATATTTGCAAACACTGTCAAATAGATTCTCTGAAAACTAAAACAAACCACACAAAATGGATTTAAGCAGTACATTTTCAGGAGCCTGTGGTCAGTGTGAGAGTTCATGGTCCTGTTCAGGAGTTTGATTTTCAACAAAAATAATGAGTCTGAGTAAATGAACAACCGGCTTGTGACTAATTTATGTGAGAGAGATTTGTTCAACAGCACAAATCAGCTCACATGTTGTAGTTCCAGCAAAATCAGTTCTTTATTATCAGATTGGGTTGGGGTTAGGTTTAAAATAAACCTCAAATTAAAGTCTAATAAAGCCTCAGACGGAGCAGAGCCACTGTTAGCGTTATATCCACAGGGAATGTTATGACATTGACATTAGCTGCAAAATATCAATACTCTTTAAATTGTTTTTATATGGGGTCAATTTGACATTCTTTCTGAAATGGTCTTTGTTTATAGAGGGGTTGCCTTTCCACAGATCTGACCTAGAATAGAATGTAGAATATAGAATCTGTTGACCCAAAGTAAGGAGCCCATTTATTTAACTGAGTCCATAATTGGTCTAGGAACTGGATTATTATTCACTAGTGTTGTGATACTAAAATTTCAAACTCAATTTCGATACTAAGTATGGGTTTAACGGTACACAAAAATCACAGTTTGGTACGTACCTTGGTTTTGAGGTCACGGTTCGGTTCATTTTTGGTCCAGTATGGGAACAAAATGCAAAACCATTTGCTTGTAGTTTATTTGTGTGTTTATTAAACCAACAATTTGTTTGCATTTATTTTGTTTTTCCATTTGTATAATGTTCAAAGTGCTGCTTGGTAATACCAATAAATTAAATAAAATATTTTCAAAGAAGCAACAAATGTATAAAATATTATTAAAAATAAATTCCTTGTAAAACAGTAAACAAAACTTTTCAAAAAAGTAAAACACAGTACTGGCTGTTCCAGCATGAAGTTTTACTCAATCTTCATACATGGCCAGAAAAACCGACTTGCCATTGGGGGCAGCAGCATTGGGGGTGGAGCGGAGATTCCGTGCTGGCGAAAGGCAAGTGAGGAGCGCAGCGCGACAACCATACTTTTGCGAGGATTCACGCGGTTCAGAGGGACGTAGTCAAAGCGGGGGCCAATTGTTGTCAAGACGGCCACCCTAACTATAAAGCGCTGCGGGAAACACTGACCCCCCCGACCACAGACGAGTTTCCTTGTGAATATTAAAGAGCCGAGCCTCCGTGTAGCTGCACATGTAGTGGTGGAATGTAAACACACACACATTGATTTGACTTGTGCACAGCCCTGCACCGAACCAAACATCCTGTACTGAAACTGTTCGGCACAAACACATGAACCGTTGCACCCATAATACTGAGAAATAGACTCGATACTCAGTACTGATTCCAATACCACAATGACAATGAAAAACACTCTTTATTTAGACAGTTTTCAACATTAACTCATAAGACCATATGGGAATAGAAAAGAAAGTACTATATATGTGTAATCCCTCAGTGGTCCATGGGTGTATACTAGTCTATGTGCTCTTATACTTGTTCTGATACAGCTCAAGATCATTCTAAAGCTTCAGGAAATTCAGTTTTGTCTTGTCAATGTGATTATTATTTTTTTTTTTTTAGTTGCTCAAATGAGTATCTAGTTTTGTTCTTGTTTTAGTATCGATTAGTATCTGATTTTCTGTATTTTTGACAACCTTATTACCTGTAAAGACTCTAAAAATCTACAAATCAAATACCATTAACGTTCCCTTTCACCCTTTCCTTCACAGACTCCAGACTTCTACCGATGGACGACTGCATCCTCTCCGCGCTCTCTCTGCCCTCTGAGGTCAGGCCCACTCCAGACTCCGCCCTGCTGGAGCTGACCCCGAACTCGGAGCTGGACAACCACAGGAGCAGCAGCAGAGACCCGGCCCCCAGCCCCAGCAAAACCAACGAGCCGGCGAGCACCGACAGCGTGGACCTGAGCTCCTCCATGGACGACGTGAGTGAGTCGAGTCAGATCACCGGGGGCAGGGTTCTGAGGAAGAGGAAGCAGACCGACTACAAAGACGTCCCCCGGAAACAGCCCGCCAAGGCCTTACCACACAGGTACGCAGTTGGCAGCTTTTTAATTTAACCCTTCCAGACCTAAGGGCGTGGAAAATTCCAGGCAGTGCAAAGACATATCCATAGAAACAGGCAAACCAATAAGTGCACCTTTAAATCAAACCTAATCTCATGCTGTTTGTTTTCCTTTTTTTAGGAACTCCTCAGCGGATGAAGAAAACTCAAGTGACTCTCCTCTGATCTCAATATGGGGGGATTACACAGGTAAATATTATGTACTACTAATCAGGGCCCGACCGATATGGACTTTTTTGCGGCCGATATGATACCGATATGACCGGAATTGGAGCTGCTGATAGCCGATATGAAAAACCTATATATTTAATGGTGTAAAAATTCACCATGAGTCTTTAATTGATTATAAAACTTAGGTCTGGTTCTACCGGATTTTAAATTGGGTTGGTTTAGGCGACACTTCTTGTTTTTCTGCCTCTTTACATATTTAAAGACAGTAGGTCAGACTAATGGCATTTTTTGCATCACATTCTAGCCTGTAAAGAAAGTTAGTAAAGTACCGCTATTAGTCTTTAGCGGTAAATGCGTGTGCGCCACAGTAATGAATTATGCGTAAATGTCGATCATTCACACCTCTATTCACAGCTCATTTACATATAAATGCAGGTCCAGTAACGTGTAATGGTCACTTTACACTAGGCCAATGTAAGAAAACAGGTTGTTTATGTGTGGGAGCTACAGCAGCTAAGCTCTAAACAATGAGAAAGAACCAAAAGCAGCTTCAAAAACTGAAACATTTGTAACACTCACCGCTCACACAGGCTTGTCTCAGATCACAAGTCTTCACAAATGAGTGTCCTTTCAATCCTGACTCAGAAAGATCGTCTGTAAAATAATATAATCCAGCATGTTGACAGCAGCTGTGAGTGTAAACAAGCGCATATGAGTGACGTCACTCTGGGGGCACGTTCAGGGGTATTACGGTGTCACAAATGTAGACAAATTACACCACATATTAGGACATTTATCTGTCTGTAAATTGGATTAAATGGACATAATATAGAGAGTCAACACTGAAACTAAGACACATTTGTTGACAGTCTTTGTTACTAGCTGAATCTGACATCATGCAGTATCTTGCAATAAACGCTGATGTCAGTTTGGTTATTTATTTAGTTAATAGGGACAGTGCCTATTAATGAACATCTACAACATTGCAGTGTAAATATGACAGATTATAGCAAAAATGCTCATTTCCACCACAAATTTAACAGCAAAAACAATAAAAGTGACAATAGTAACAGTTATACACTCTAATTTTTTAAATTTATTTACTATGTACTTATAATTAGTATTTATTTTTGTTGAATGTGTGAAGTGTATCCAAGTCTGCTTCAATGCTCTGTACATGAAAATCAGTCTTTCTAAAAAATATATCAGATGTTAAAGATCTTATATTACACAAAAGTTTAAAGACATGTTATGTTGTTAACTCCAGGTCTGTTTTTAAGGAGATATCTTTTGTTATTGAGTTTAAAAACAAAACATTATATATTTTTGATGAGCAAACAGCATTATAACATAGATCAGAAAACAGCGCAGCATGAGCCCGCTCACTAACATTATTGCTTTGCTTTTGGTTTATTTCAGACAGTCCCAAGCCGTCCGTGGGAGCAGACGCCAAGGTGCACTGGTCTGACGAGGAGACGGTGATTCTGCTGGACGTCTGGGGCATGAACGTTGTGAATCCTCGGCGTTTGAAGAGCCGTCAGCTCCTGGGTCAGATCTCACGTAAACTGTGTGAACGCGGATACAGGAGGACCCCCGAGCAGTGCCAGTCCAGGATCAAACGCCTTCGCAGATACTTCGCACAAGTCAGCAGGTACGAGAAGGAACAAAGCAGGCATTTTCTTTTCTAACAGTATTGTAATGTTATTGCGTTTTCTTAATTTTATGTAACTACTATCTAGATTAAAAATAATATCTTCATAGTGTTTTTTTTATGCATTCTTATCTTGCCGTCAATAATGCAAGTATAAGAGTTTGAATCATATGCTCACCAAAATCTGATTATAATCTGATTTCTGGATGTTTAAAGGCCACACACTATAGGATAATTTTGGGTTTTAGGACCCGATTTGCTTCTCACAGACATTGGAGAGGCGTTGGATGTTCCATTTAACTTATTCACACTGAGTTTACTTCATAAAACTGCATTGTTAATCCAGTTTGAAGCATTTTTTATAAAGTAAACAGACAAGAGCAGTTCCTCACATGTGTCTGTTCAGGGTGAAGCTGCATATCAGCAATCGAGACTCTAGTTCTTAATTTACTTTACTTAAACTTGCTTTATTTTTACCTTACTTAAATTTACTTTAAGTAAAGTAAATTTAAAGTAAAGTAAATTTACGTAAGGTAAAAATAAAGCAAGTTTAAGTAAAGTAAATTTAAAGTAAACTTATTTTATTTTTACTTTACTTAAATTTACTTTATTTAAACTTGCTTTAATTTTACTTTACTTAAATTTACTTTACTTAAACTTGCTTTAATTTTACTTTACTTAAATTTACTTTACTTTACTTAAACTTGCTTTACTTTTACTTTACTTGAACTTACTTTACTTAAATTTACTTAAACTTACTTTACTTACACTTACATTACTTTTACTTTACTTTATTTACTTTACTTAAACTTACTTTATTTTTTACTTTACTTTGAACTTACTTTACTTAATTTGCTTTATTTTTTAGTTTACTTAAATTTACTTTTCTTTACTTAAACTTACTTTACTTTAACTTTACTTGAATTTACTTAACTTAAATTTACTTTACTTGAACTTACTTTACTTAAACTTACTTTACTTATCTTAAATTTACTTTACTTTACTTGAATTTACTTAACTTAAATTTACTTAACTTGAACTTGCTTTACTTAAATTTACTTTACATAAACTTACTTTATTTTTACTTTTACTTTACTTAAATTTACTTTACTTAGACTTATTTTACTTAAACTTAAACTTGCTTTACTTGGACTTTGACTTTACTTAACCGTACTTTGTTGCCAGCCTTCTGTGCATTAAATCATGTAACTGAACTCATGCACCACATTTCACACCTAAGAATAACAGTTTTGTTTTGTATCTAAACTAGAAGTACAGTGCTCTGATCTTTTGACACTTCAGAGGCTCAAAGCGAGTCCTTTTTCTGTACTCAGGAAACAGCAGATGGGAGGTGCACTCACAACTTTTCTCTTGTGGTCTCAACGCTGCCATATTGTGCTGCACACTTTGCACTCAGAGGATCATAAGATTTAAAATACATAAAATACAGTTCTCTATGTGTCTTTTTGTCTTAAGATTACTTAAATGTGTGGTATGTGTAACATTTTGATTGGGGGTCACCTGCTTGTTTCTGTGGAAATGTCTTTGCTTTGCCTGGAATGTTCCACACAGCAGGGGTCCCCAACCTTTTTCCTCCGGTGACCTGCCTTTTATAAAACGTAAATGTCAGAGAGCTACTTGTTTGAGCGGTCGCAAGAAATTGAGAAAGTAGGAGAGCCATGGTGAGCTTCTGACGGAGTGCAGTTAAATAGGCCTGTAAAACATAAACCATTATCCATTTATCAGTGCACAAGTCAGCCATCAAAATGACACATTTACAATGGTAATTAATCAGATTTTAGTAATTAAGCGCAATACATATCATTCAGAAATCCTTTGGTGAGCTACTTGGAAGGGGGTGGAGAGCTACTGGTAGCTCTACAGTATGACATTAAACAGTTCTATGTTACATTTATTCAGAATTGTGTAAATCACTGCCTTCAATCTGTTTCAAGGAAGGCGCTAACTACACTGAAACTACACTGGCAACAGCGAGGGTTTATCTGTTGTTTAATTGACTACTTTAATTGCTACTCTAAGGCCCCGTCCACACTAGTCGTATTCGAGTTGTTTTCGTTGTGGATGCAGTGTTCGTTCACACTAATCCGATGGAAAACGGCTCCAGAGACGGAACGATCTGGTGCCTCCAGCTCCCACGAATTCATATGAGTACAGATCTGATCCGGCACCGTGTGGACGCTTGAAAACACTGATACGCTGATGTAGGAGCTCTAGTTGTGTCCTTTTTGGACCACATCACTGTGACTTGCGCCTTCCTGATTCGCTGGGTTCGTGACATCGGTCATGCGACGCTATTGTGGAAAACGGTTTAAATAAACTATAGACAAACATCTTAAAATCCAGTGTTACGTTCAGTAACAACTGAACTTCGTCGTTAGTCCACAGTTTCACGCTTTCCATCTTCCTCGGCTCGAAATCGGCTGCTGCAAGTTCAGACACGGAGCTCCACTTCCTTGTTTTTACCGTCCACATGACTTTGTAACGACATGACACCAGCCTAATAGTTTCAGGCGGGTTTGTGTTTCTGTATGGATAGGGAAGGCCTTGATTGCGGACACAGAGAAACAACGTGTCTGGACACAAATCGTTTCTGATACGGTGATTCGATTCAGTGTAATCCTAACCTAAGATTTTAATTTCCACTGATATCATATTTTACTTTGTTCATGCCCCTAATAAGGCATCTACAGTACCTCTCCCGCAATATAATATCCCTTTTTACCATCAGCAAGCTTTTTTTGCATCACTTGTCTTATTAGAAGAAAACATAATGTTCAGTCATCTAGCTCCTCGTACTGGAGATTGTTTGACATCACAGAATTGAAAGCAAAGAGTATTTTATTACTGTGTTGAATTGTATTAAATTAAGCATTTTGTTTTTTGTTTTTTTGTGTGTATCTTGCAGCAGTGTGAATGGTAAAGTGGAGTGTAAGTTTTATGACCAGCTGGAGCGGATCCTGACCGCAGACCCCGACTCCACGTGCGACGCAGACGACGGAGACGAAGAAGAAAACCAGGAAATGGACGACGATCTGCAGTTTATCGAGCAGAACCTTCCTCTGGACATCTCCACGGATACGGGTATGACGTCATATTTAAGTCTAGAGTTCAGGATTGAAGCGTTATCGACAAATCGTCATGTAATTTTTGCATCTCTTTCACGCAACTACAGCGTTGTGTTTAGTTCTCATGAGGCTATTGTGATTATTTCCGAACGTATGCGCTTTTTGTTTAAAAGAGATGACAATAAATGCACTGACACTATTTTGAATGTTAAAAAACTATAATCCCAAACCATAAGATGAGCGGAAAGAGATAACATTTCACATTTGGGTCCGGTCAAGCGGTAACTGAGGGAAACAGGGGCAGATTTTTTACATTCAAATAGCTCTTATTCAGAAACTAGAGGGACTATTGAAATAAGTAAAGTATCAGAATGTAGGAAAGAGTTACACTCCAACAGGGTCAAGTTAAAATTCTTTCAAGTTGTTGACCTCTAACCGGGAATGAAATATGCAGCATTTTTGGGCAATAAACACAAACAGCTTCATATAGTTTTCTACCATATGGTACAAGATTAGGTTTTACCTCTTACTTTTTGAGTAATGAGATTTTTTATGAAGAAAGGTCATGGTAACGGAGGGAAAAGTAACGGAGGGAAAATTGTGCAAGCAAGTAGAAGGTGCATGATTTTGCATAATTTGTCAACTTTTTTCTTCCAAATAGTTTAATATTACTTCAAAATGAAAGGAAACTATTTCTATAAAATGTCAGTCCTTCCAAGCAAATTTTTATCATTGAAAAAAATATTTTTTTTTTAATCATGTACCTTCATCAACAGTTCAAAGATGGAATAACACAAGATATGATGAAATACATCCTTTTATTTACATGATTTGCAGGTCTTTGAAATTTGGGAAATGATTTTTGTTCCATGTTTCATACATGATCTATTTAAAACGTATGCGACTTTAGAACCAAAAATGATACAGAAAAAAGGTCAACAGTTTCATAAACTAGAGTACATATGTATCTGTTCAATACATTTTTATATCAGATGCATTAACTTGAATTTTTGGCCTTGCTGTTTACTTCTACTTGACCGAGCCCATTTATTTAATTCTACACACGTAGGTGCCGTAAAGTCATGAAGAAAACACTTTAGGTCATGAAAAAGTCATGGAAAAGTTTTGAAATTTTCTCAGTGAAAAAGAGTGGAATCCTTGAAGCTTGTACATGGTAATAATGTGTTTTTTAAGATATTTTTGAGCTATAATCAACTGTAATTAAACAAATGCAAAGGAGATATGTTTTACGCCCTACCCTGGGACATTTGAGCCAAATAAACAACACCTCCATGGAGACAAAACAAGTAGCAGAGCCTCCACCTTAAAGTTACACAATGCACCGTTTAAACCTCATGAGAATTGTGCATGTTCTGACAGCACCGTCCCTCCCGATCTGCATGTGTCTATAATACAAACGGTAACAGAGTGTTCTGCACGTCCAAATAAAACTGCATTACCACATTTTCAAACCGCAAAATGAGGAAATACGGGTTTTAATCTATTTAAGTACTTCCTATCTAACACAAACCACATGACTCATGGTTTATTTTCATATCAGGGCTGGGAATCCATTAGTCCACTCCCTTTTATACAGTCTGTGGTTGCAAAATGAAAGTGATCTTAAAGGTGCACTGTGTAACTTTATGGTTGGAGGTTTGTCACTTTCTTGTTTCTATGGAGATGTTATTGCGCTGCCTGAAATGTTCCACAGTGTGACATTAAACAGCTCTACCTTGCATTTATTCAATTACAGGTGGTTTTATAGCTCAGAAATGCCTAGAAAAACAGACATTCTGGCTGTGAGCGGGGTCGCATCTCCACAGATATGACCTGTAACTTGGTCTGGTTAGGTCTCCATGAAGATAGAAAGGTTTAATGCCATACTGTGAAACATTCCAAACAAATCAACATCCCAATAGAAATGGAAAATCACCAGAGAAGTTGCACAATAAATACATCTTTAATCTGTCTAATGCAGTTAGTTTGCAGTTTTTTTATATATATTTTTGAATATTTACACCAGGGGTCATCAAACTAGGGCCCCGTCCACACTAGTTCATATTCGAGTCATTTTCGTTGTAGATGCAGTGTTCGTTCAAACTAATCCGACTGAAAACGGCTCCAGAGACGGAACGATCTGGTGCCGCCAACTCCCACGAATTCATTCGAGGTACAGATCTGATCCGGCACCGTGTGGACGCCTGAGAACCCTGATACACTGATGTAGATCTATACACCGCAAAATAATTCACCACCAAAACACTTAAGAGGCTAGAATATATGTCCATAATCTCTGAAAAGTTTAACATGAACCGTCTCCAACGTGATAGAAACACAGAACAGACTCACCATCAGCAGAACGTCCCTCTGTCACACAAAGAACACTCATATTCCACTGAGTCTTGTCCTTTAGTCCAACAGAAACTGAACCGCATCAGCGCACAAGGAGCGAGCAGTTTTTTTTTTTAAGTGCTCAGTTTATGCAAATTAGCCATGTGGTTTTAAGTTTTGTTTCTCTAAAGTGTAAAGACATATGCTCAAAGCTGTTTGGATAGGGAAGGACTGCAGACACAGAAACGACGTGTCTGGACGCAGATCGTTTCTGATACGCAGATTCGTTTGAATGTAAACGGGGTCTAAAGCCCGCGGGTCGACTCCCCCCCCCCCCCAGCCCTTCTACCCCTCACCACTTGAACTGGCCCTATGACGCAATCCCCAAAAGTTGTCATGGCCTATTCTTTTTTTTCAATTAAAAATTATCTTTATATGAAGTATTTATATTTAAATAATTATATGACATATTTACATTTGCCACTGAATTTTCATCACCTGACAAACTCGAGTTCAGTTAAGGACAGCAAAATTATTCGTGCTAAAATACGAAAAGTTGACAGAGTGTGACGAGTTTTCAAAGAACAGTGGACGTCTGATTATTTTTTTTGTTCAGTGTAAGGAGCGTGCAGTTTGTCGGATATGTAAAGAAAGTGTGGCGGTTTTCAAAGAATATAATCTACGTCATCAAGGTCGTACAATTCTGTTATACGACCGACCCGACCCCGGCCCCCATCACAGTCAGGAGCGATAATGTGGCCCCCGGAGAAAAAAAGTTTGGTGACCCCTGATTTACACTTTTGTCTGCAGTTTCTTCCAGTGCTCGCGCCGCCTGGTCCGACTCGGAGACCCTGGCCCTGATCAACATCTGGGGGGAGAACAAGCACCAGGTCGGGTCCAGAGGGGGGCACCGCGGAGCTCAGCTGTTCAACATCGTCTCCAAAAAGATGGCCGCTCTGGGATACGTGAGGACGCCGGACCAGTGCCAGACCAGAATGAAGAGACTCAAGTCCAGATTTAGGCAAAACTACGACAACAAGTGAGTAATGGGGCTTTTAAAGGGACTATATTATGCAATTTTCTGATCTGTTATAATCTTGTTTCCTCATCACAAACAGACCTGGAGTTGTGTTTTGTTTCTTTCACACATGTTTAACACACAAACGCTGCAGATTTAGGCTGAGTTCTTATCTCAAACTGAAAACACTTCCACATTGTGATGTCATGTGGTGATACAGGAAGTCCTCTGCAGTGTTTTTAAACTCCACACACCTTCACTAGAATCATTTGGATAATTTCAGCCTTTGAATTGCCAATCTGTACTAAACAAAACTTTAAAAGGTAGCTGTACTTAGGGCTGAGCGATGTATTGTTTTGGACCGAAAATCGCAATCTCAGACATGATTTTGGGAGCATCAAAGCAGTGTTTTTTTAGCCTGATTCATCAGACAGTTCCACTTTGTAGAAACCGTCTGACCTCGCAGTGTTAGATTTAGTTTGTTTTCGTTTTGTTCCCCTTGATAAAATTCACCAAACATTCTCTTTGTTCCAGCTTTAAATCCTCAATCTCAGTAATTGTTGCCAACACAGAATGTATGGCTCTTCACTGATTGGCTGGTGCCCAAACTTGCACTCCCGGGGTTTTTGCGAACCATCTGTTGTATTTTGATTCCTGACCTAGTCACTGGAGAGAAATTAAATTGAGCGGAGGCACTAAGTGGCGCCAGCCTGGCTAGCATTTTTTGCAGCGCCCCTAAAGCCCAATTATAAGAGCAAAGTTTAGTTCTACGTTGACTCAGTGCACCCTGTCACCGTCGTTTTTGATTCATGGATCTGCATCGAGGTCAATGTGCCACGAAGTAATTCACCACCACAATGCGAGGAGGTGAGGATTTAAACCTGGCGTTCGTGTAAAGTTTAACATGAACCATCTCCAACACGACAGAAGCACAGAACAGACTCACCATCATCAGCACATCCTCATATTCCACTGAGTTGTGTCCTTTAGTCCGACAGAAGCTGACCCGCATCAGCCACAAGGAGCGAGCTGTTTTTTCAGTGCTTATAGTTTGAGTCATGAGGTTTTATGTTTCGTTTCTGTAAAACGTAAACAAATGTGGCAAACGGTCTAGAGTCAAATCACTGGTGCAGGTCTATGATGCAAGTTTCTATGATGTTTTCAGATGTTCATGTGCTCTGAAACTTGATTTGAAAAAAATCGTGGATGAAATCGAAATCACAATATCTGCCAGAAAAATCGCAATTCTCATTTTTTTATTTCTTCGTTCAGTCCTAGCTGTACTCAAAACTGTGCTGCAAACATTAACATTTAAAGCCCAGAAGAGTGAGTTTGGTGTTATAGTGGACATTTTAAAGATAAAATTAGCTCTATAAAGTTAAAATTTTCTATAATTTGTAGTACAAGTTGGCCATTGTCTTCCACAGCGTCTACAGTAAATGGATTTAAACAGCACATGGTCCTGTTTAGGCTGTTTCGATGACAGAGGAGGAAACAACATTATAACAGAGATCAGAAAACTGCGTAATAGAGACACTTTTGATATAAAGTTTTTTGGACTAATTAAGCTTTTCTCTGTCTGCTGCAGTTGTGTCGGCGGGGGGCAGGATCGCGTGTTCTCCGAGCTCGCCCGGTTTATGCCCAGGGACCACTCACTGGAGGACGAGGTGGACCGGGCCCTGGAGGAGCTTCAGGACGACGACCTGTCTGCCTACTTCAACCAAGACCTGGGTACAGACCGCACACTCTATATACACTGTGTTTTAGTTTTTGTTTTGTGTTTTTCTCAAGTGATGCGGAAAAGAGGAAGCCACTCTCCACTCCACTTTCCTCGTTTCCTTCTCCTTGATTCCTCTCCTCGGTTCTCCATTTTTTAGCTGTCACTCAAATGTGTCATATTAAGTGGGTATCTCGGAAAAAAAAAAAACACGAAATGAAGGAGTAAACCTGAGGGAGGCTTCAGGAGCTGGACATCAGATAACAGAATCAAACTTTAATGGTCTCAGTGAAGAGTTTAGATCTTGTGTGAGAGTGAGAGCAGATTTCTTCCACTTTCATATGAAAAAGTTCAATTTAACATTAATTTTGTGTCTTGTTTCCTCAGATGCTGTTTTCAATCTTCAGGAAGAAAGGAAAAAAGTGACTTGGTTGGACAAAGAGACTGTTCTGCTGCTGGAGATCTGGGGCGATCCACAGGTATTTTATGTTCTAGAAACGGATCCTGATCGTTTCATCGCCGGCCAGTCAAAATCAGATAACCCGGTAACTACAGTAGATTAAGGGATGAGACGAGATCAAATCACCTCGAGATTTATCCCGGGCTTTAGATCTGACACGGGCATGAAAGAGCAAGATGCAAGCTCTGGAGTTGCATATCTTTGAGCAGCTGTAGCTAAAAAAGTTCACATATTCGCAGAGACGGACAGAGAACACTTTAAACTTTGTTCCAGTTTTTATTTTGTAGTGATTGGACCAATATTGAGGCAAATAATCAGTACTAAAGTTTGTACAAAAAGATCACGAAAAACTATAATGAAATATATGCGTGTCTAAATAATTTGAGATTGAATGGGACTAGTTTTACTTATGAATGAATGAACACATTTTATTTTATTGGCATGTTTGCCATTTATGACATCAACCTGTCCAGGGACTTGCTTTAACCTGACGCAAACGTATGACTTCTTTCTGTAGCTCAGTGTTTTATGTGCTTTGTCCCTGATAAATAAACAAATAAACTAAACAAAAAAAATTAAAACAAATTCACCCGCAAACATAGACCATATATATGAGTGGACATAGCCGCCGTGTGCCAAATAGGAAGTTCACCAGGAGGTTCTTCCGGCTCCTTTTGGCTCCGGCTCCAATTGACTTACATTAGGATCTTTTGGCTCCTCTCTCTGTAACTGCTGCAGTGAGCCTCGTCATTTTGGTCTTAAAATGTTTGTATTAACCTACGACACATGATCCTGATTGATGATTTTTCGCTATTTTTTTCCGTCCGACTCCAGATTCGCTCCTGTAACTGTGAACATGCTAGTTTCATTTGAGCGGTGCTGAACTCTGTGGGTGACGTCACACTCGCTTAGTCCACTTCTTTTGTACAGTTTATGCCCACAAACAGCGCGGAGCATGCGGTGTTTCCCACACTTAAACATTGTTTGACAAAGATCCACAAAGAGATATGTAGGACTTTTTCATCCATAATTCACTCAGTTAAAAGTCATAGAGGAGAGAAGCGCCTCTATAATGAGTGTTGCAATAGTCAGTAGTGATGGATGTGGGGATTTACACAGGTGTTTAAATAGGCCTATGTGTTTAAACCAGGGGTGTCAAACTCATTTTGGTCCGGGGGCCGTATCCAACCTACTTTGATCCCAAAGGGGCTGGGGAAAAAAAAAAAATGGCATATATACTTCAGAAATAGCAATAAGTTCAAATATTTGTGCAGAGAAACGCAAATCTATTACAGAAATCTTTTTTAATTGATGAACTCTTTCTTTTACAAAATATTATATTATTATGATCAACTTAAAAAAAAAATGCAATTTCAACACAATGTTTTAACATGAACTTGTATGCAAATGAAAATAAGTAATTTTTTCTTGGAAAATCCTGCACTCGGCTCCACTTTTCTCATGTTTGTCATTTTTCTGTTGAGGGTGTCACGGTCGACAGTCAAAACGATCGTCCTTTAAGAGCGTTTGGAAAGAGACAAGTCTTCATTTGTGCTGCTCTGGTGGGAGGGGCCACGTACAGAGACGCTGGAGACGCTGCTGTGATAAACACCGCAGAAAATTACCAATATTTTAATAGAAAATATAATTAAAATATTTTAGTAGAAAATCAGCCGAGGGCCAGATTAAAGGTCTTGGAGGCCGGTTGATGAGACACCCCTGGTTTAAAGCATTTAAGTCATTAAAAGCACATGTTGAAAATGACTTAATTTGGAAATTTTTATAAGTAAATCAGATTATGTTATTAGGTTCTTTTTTTTTTTTTCAGACCAAGAGTTTGTTTTCATACCTGACAGTTTCGACTGCTCATTAGTGGTCTTCCTTAGAGTCACGTGATGTTGTTGTGACGTGTCCGGTCAGACAAACTCTTGGTCTGAAAAAAGAAGAAACTACTAACATAAATTATTGAAAGACCAAATAAACCTCACTGGACCAGATCAGATTATTGTAAATTATTTCAAAGTCTCGTCTCATCTCGATCTCGTGTCTTGCCTCGTTTCGTGAAAATTCTGTCTCGTCCCACCCTCGGTTTTTTACAGAACTAGAGAAACCTGATCAAACCTAAAAACGCCTCCATGACATGTGTGAGTTGAGCGGTGGATTCTTAGAGTAACTTTTGCATTTGGAAGACAAAGAACAATGAATTTTAAAATAACTCCTTCAGTCCTTCGGTAATTTTCCTTGTCAAAACCTGCGTGGGTGTGAACACTCAGAAAAATTTCAATAATGTGATGACTCCAGAAAAGAATGTACATATTAAACTAAACCAACACTGACTTTTAACGTAACGCAGATGCACAAAACAAAACTTTATGTAATTGTTTCATTGGTCAAATCGCCTAAATAAAAACACAAACCAAAATGAAAGCAGCTCTTTGTTTCTCCCAGTGCTAATTGCTTGTTTTTCTTTGCCTCTTTCAGGTTCAACAGGACTTAAAGCGCTTCCCTCATAACTCTCCTGTTTATAACGAGATCGCGGAGAAGTTGGCGGCCTGTGGTTACCGACGCAGCGCGGATCAGTGCTACACCCGAATCAAACGCCTTAAAGCGCTGTATCGAAACTGTCAGGAGAAGTAAGAGACTCTGAGTTTTTTTTTAATAATGTATTCGGTTGTGGTTTTTTTGACTTGTCTTAAAAATGTGAAAAGCAGAAATGAAATGTTGAAATGTTCGCAGAGGTCCAAAATGATTCCTTAACCGTTCCTAGTATCTTAATTATTCACTGAAATGAGTTGATGAGGACTTTTCATAACTTTTGGTCCTAATTTAGACCTGTTTTAGTTCTGGTTTAGCCCTGGTTTAGACCTGGTTTAGACCTGTTTCAGTCCTGTTTCAGTCCTGGTTTGGTCCTGTTTTAGTCTTAGTTTAGTCCTGGTTCAGTCCTTTTTCAGTCCTGGTTCAGACCTTGTTTAGACCTGTTTTTAGACGTTTTTTAGTCCTGGTTCAGTCCTGTTTTAGTCTTAGTTATAGTCCTGGTTTAGACCAGTTTTAGTCCTGGTTCAGACCTTGTTTAGACCTGTTGTAGACCTTTTTTAGTCCTGGTTCAGTCCTGGTTCAGTCCTGGTTTCCTGGTTCAGTCCTGGTTTGGTCCTGGTTTAGTCTTAGTTTAGTCCTGGTTCAGTCCTTTTTCAGTCCTGGTTCAGACCTTGTTTAGACCTGTTTTTAGACGTTTTTTAGTCCTGGTTCAGTCCTGTTTTAGTCTTAGTTATAGTCCTGGTTTAGACCTGGTTTAGACCTGGTTTAAACCAGTTTTAGTCCTGGTTCAGACCTTGTTTAGACCTGTTGTAGACCTTTTTTAGTCCTGGTTCAGTCCTGGTTCAGTCCTGGTTCAGTCCTGGTTTAGACCTGGTTTAGACCTGGTTCGGTCCTGGTTTGGTCCTGTTTTAGTCTTAGTTTAGTCCTGGTTCAGTCCTTTTTCAGTCCTGGTTCAGACCTTGTTTAGACCTGTTTTTAGACGTTTTTTAGTCCTGGTTCAGTCCTGTTTTAGTCTTAGTTATAGTCCTGGTTTAGACCTGGTTTAAACCAGTTTTAGTCCTGGTTCAGACCTTGTTAGACCTGTTGTAGACCTTTTTCAGTCCTGGTTCAGTCCTGGTTCAGTCCTGGTTCAGTCCTGGTTCAGTCCTGGTTAGACCTGGTTTAGACCTGGTTCGGTCCTGGTTTGGTCCTGTTTTAGTCTTAGTTTAGTCCTGGTTCAGTCCTTTTTCAGTCCTGGTTCAGACCTTGTTTAGACCTGTTTTTAGACGTTTTTTAGTCCTGGTTCAGTCCTGTTTTAGTCTTAGTTATAGTCCTGGTTTAGACCTGGTTTAGACCTGGTTTAGACCTGGTTTAAACCAGTTTTAGTCCTGGTTCAGACCTTGTTTAGACCTGTTGTAGTCCTGGTTCAGTCCTGGTTCAGTCCTGGTTCAGTCCTGGTTCAGTCTTAGTTTAGTCTTGGTTCAGTCCTGGTTTAGTCTTGGTTCAGTCCTGGTTTAGACCTGGGTTTAGACCTGGGTTAGACCTGGGTTAGACCTGACCTGGTTCAGTCCTGGTTCAGTCCTGGTTAGACCTGGTTTTAGACCTGGTTTAGACCTGGTTTAGACCTGGTTTAGACCTGGTTCAGACCTGGTTTAGACCTGGTTTAGACCTGGTTCAGTCCTGGTTTAGACCTGGGTTTAGACCTGGTTTAGACCTTTTTTAGTCCTGGTTCAGTCCTGGTTCAGTCCTGGTTCAGTCCTGGTTCAGTCCTGGTTCAGTCCTGGTTCAGTCCTGGTTTAGACCTGGGTTAGACCTGGGTTAGACCTGGGTTAGACCTGGTTTAGACCTGGTTTAGACCTGGTTTAGACCTGGTTCAGACCTGGTTTAGACCTGGTTCAGACCTGGGTTAGACCTGGTTCAGTCCTGGGTTAGACCTGGTTTAGACCTGGTTTAGACCTTTTTTAGTCCTGGTTCAGTCCTGGTTCAGTCCTGGTTCAGTCCTGGTTCAGTCCTGGTTCAGACCTGGTTCAGACCTGGTTCAGACCTGGTTCAGACCTGGTTTAGACCTGGTTTAGTCCTGGTTTATGTGTCGTAGTCTATGTTTTATGTTCTGTAGGTGAGTATTAAAGGCGTTAATGTTAATAACATGATTCGGCATCAGTTTGAGTAAAAAAACATTACTGATTTTTACTGAGCTGGCGAATCAGTGGCATTGAAAAAAAAAAAAATCTATTTGTAGTACTAGGTTTTCATTCTGTGGTGCCGCGCCACAGATTGGTCTATGTGAGGGAAACACTGAATACGGTACGATTTATATTTCAAATCAGTTCAATACAGTCGTAAAATAAAGGCTAAATCATGTCTGTGATACTGAAAGTTTCTGTTAAACCACTTCCTGTGTGAAATTCATATGAAACACAAACATTTTAATCATCAAAACTGTGTCAAATATGTTGCATAAATATGTTTCCTTCCACTAAACAAGCAACAAAACTGTAGCTCTGTAACTAAATAAGTAAAATATACCAAAAACATATACTCAGTAGCCCACGATATCGATACTGTATCGTCTCATTAAACTATATGATATATCAGTATTTCAATATTTTTGCACACTCCTACACGTCCTTTAGTCTGTCTGTGAATATATGAGAGTCATTGGTGGTGATTGTATGAAATTGTAAAGCAAGATTTTTGAGTCTGTGTAAAACAAAGGCTTTTTTAATCACTGTTTTTGGACTTACTTTGCTTTTAACAGAGTAGATCAATTTAAATCCACATTTTCAGTAGATTTACAGATTTACATGTTGTATTTCAGAATGGATAAAGGAGGAGTCAAGTCGGATTTTAAATTTTATAACATCCTGGAGAAGATCCTGGGCAGCCAACCGTCAACCTCTTCAACTCCCTCAACTCCCTCCACCAAAGTCACAGACGCCATGGAGATCTCCGAGGACTCCAACAGCAACTCAGTGCCTGAAATAGGTAAGGTTTTTTGGGGTTTTTTTTATAATTTATTTTTTAAAGCGGCATTGTTGAACTTTTTTCTGGTGGAGCGTCCGTCAGTGCTTTTCTTTCGTAACTTTGACTCCTGGTTTAGACCTGGTTTAGACCTGGTTTAGACCTGGTTTAGACCTGGTTTAGTCCTGGTTTAGTCCTGGTTCAGACCTGGTTCAGACCTGGTTCAGTCCTGGTTCAGTCCTGGTTCAGTCCTGGTTCAGTCCTGATTTAGTCCTGGTTTAGTCCTGATTTAGTCCTGATTTAGACTTGGTTTAGACTTGGTTTAGACTTGGTTTAGACCTGGTTCAGTCCTGGTTCAGTCCTGGTTTAGTCCTGGTTTAGTCTGATTTAGTCCTGATTTAGTCCTGATTTAGACTTGGTTTAGACTTGGTTTAGACCTGGTTCAGTCCTGGTTCAGTCCTGGTTTAGTCCTTGATTAGTCCTGATTTAGTCCTGGTTTAGTCCTGGTTTTAGTCCTGGTTTAGTCCTGGTTTAGACCTGGTTTAGTGCTGGTTCAGTCCTGGTTTAGACCTGATTTTAGTCCTGGTTTAGTCCTGGTTTAGTCCTGGTTTAGACCTGGTTTAGTCCTGGTTTAGACCTGGTTTAGTCCTGTTTTAGTCCTGGTTTAGACCTGGTTAGTCCATCAATGCTTTTCTTCCATGGAGATGTTATCGCTTTGTCTTGAATGTTTCACAGTGTGGCATTAAACCTTTGTATCTTTACGGAGACCAAACTAGACCAAGTTACAGGTGGGGTTGTTTTTGTGAGTGGTAGAACTTTGTTTACACTGAAAACCTTTGTGACCTTTATAACATGATTAAAAGTTAAAGAAAATCTACTTTTTAAACATTAATAGTTACATTTCAGTATGGTCCTTTTTATACTGTGCTCATTTCAATAAAACACACTTAACATAATAATACTTGACATAAGTAGAAGTATTTCCATAACTGTTACTTAGCAACATAATAACTGTTACTTAGCAACCATAATAACTGTTACTTAGCGACCATAATCAGAACAAGGTTAAATGAAAGTTTAAACTGGCAGAAAAATGTACTCCTCGTACGTAATATAAACAGTATTTTATAACTTTTTTTTCCCACAAACTGAGACTTGACTTATGTAAAACTATGATAAATATTTGCATCACAAGTATTATTCCACCAAACCAAATCATAAATACCAAAAAAAAAATAAATAAAACATACAACTTAAAACTGCACTCATAACTTTTTGGTTGGGGTCCGTCACCTGCTTGTTTCTGTGGATATTAGGGGTGTAACGGTTCACAAAAGTACCTCGGTTTTTCGGTTCATTTTCGGTCCAGTATGGGAACAAAATGTAAAACCATTTGCTCGTTGTTTATTTGTGTGTTTATTAAACCAACAATTTGTCTTAACGTTATACAAACGGGAAAATAAAATAAATGCAAGGTGCTGCTTGGTAATACTAATAAGTTACCGTATTTTCCGGGCTATTAGACGCGCTCTTAAGCCTCTAACCCCATCAAAAAACGACTGCGCCCCGCAATCCAGAGCTCCCCATACACGAATCCACTCAGGTGTCCCAGCACGACTTCAGTAAACTACTGAACCACTGACCCATCTAACTGTTGTTTCGTTTAAAGTCCGGTGCGGTTTATTTGTGGAAAAAAAAGTTCAAAAATAGACCATTCAATGACAGTGCGCTTTATAATCCAGAGCGCCTCATAGCCCGGAAAATACAATAAATAAAATATTCTCAAATAAGCAACAAAGGTATGAAATATTATAAAAAATAAATTCCTTGTAAACCAGGGGTGTCAAACTCATTTTGGTCCGGGGGCCGTATCCAACCTATTTTGATCCTAAAGGGGCCGGATCAGAAAACTTATAAACCCCAAAAATAACAATAAGTTCAAATATTTGTGCAGAGAAACACAAATCTATTACAGAAATCTTTTTTAATTGATGAACTCTTTCTTTTACAAAATATTATAATATTATGAACAACCTGAAACTTTAAGAAAAATGCAATTTCAACACAATGTTTTAACATTAACTTGTATGCAAATATGAATAAGTCAATTTTTCTTGTAAAATCCTGCACTCGGCTCCACTTTTCTCATGTTGGACATTTTTCTGATGAGGGTGTCACGGTCAACAGTCAAAACGATCGTCCTTTAAGAGCGTTTGGAAAGAGACAAGTCTTCATTTGTGCTGCTCTGGTGGGAGGGGCCACGTACAGAGACGCTGGAGACGCTGCTGTGATAAACACCACAGAAAATTAACAATATTTTAATAGAAAATAGAATTAAAATATTCTAGTAGAAAATCAGCCGAGGGCCACATTAAAGGTCTTGGAGGGCCGGATCTGGCCCCCGGGCCGTATGTTTGACACCTGTGTTGTAAACGGTAAACAAAACCTTTCCAAAAGTAAACTAAAAAAGCAGTAAGTGCAGATCTGGGGGTGGAGTGGAGATTCCGTGCCGGCGAAAGGCAAGTGAGGAACACGGAGCGATGACCGTTGTTTTGCGAGGATTCACGCGGTTCAGAGCGACGTGACCAGTTCCTCGTGATATTAAAGAGTCTCCATGTAGCTGCACATGTCGTGGTGGAATGTAAACACACACAAATTGCGCAAACTCACCCATGCACGGCCCAGAGCCAAACTGAACGTCCTGTACTCAAACAGTTTAGCACAAATACACGCACCATTACACCTCTAATGGAGATGACCTCGCTCTGCCTGGAATGTTCCACAGTGTGACATTACACAGCTCTACTTTACATTTATTCAATGACAAATGATTTAATATCCAAAAAATACAAATAAAAACAGGCTTTCTGACTGTGAGTGCGGTCGCCTCTCCACAGATCTGACCTGCAACTCTGTCTGGTTTGGTCTCCGTGAAGATAGATTTAGTGCCATATTGTAAAACATTCCAACGTCTCCAAGGAAACCAGAAAAGCTACACAGTGCACCTTTAATGCCACACTATGTAACTTTTCTGGTGGAGTTGGAACGTGGAATGGGGGTAATGTTCCACAGTAGGGCATTAAACGTATCTATTTGTGTTTATTCAGTCACTCGGGTTTATTCAAGTGTTTTGGCATCGAAAATAAAAATACTTTAAAAAAAAAGATTATAAGTTGCATTTCCACAGATCTGACCTGTAACTTGACCTCGTGCCATCTTCAGGGAGAAAGACAAGTTTAATGCCCTATTGTGGAACATTCTAGCGCACGTTCTGCTTGTGAGCGGGGTCGCCTCTCCACTGATCTGACCTGTAACTCGCTTTGTCTGAAATGTTTCACCGTGTGGAGACCAAACCAGACCAACACTGTTGGGCAAGTGACTTTAAAACTGTGATGTGTTATTTATTTATTTATGACATGTTACTGTCATTTCAAAGTGATTTGTTACATTACAATTTTACTGTGTTGAAAATGTAAAATATTACACGACTATTACAGCATTTTTAAGTTACTCTCATCAAAATACCTGCTGAACTTCTGCGCCGTATATGGACTGAACCAGGACTAAACCAAAACTGAATCAGAGCTTAACCCGGACTGAACAAGAACTAAACAAGGACTAAATCAGGTCTGAACCAGGTCTGAACCAGGTCTAAACCATGACCAAACCAGGTCTAAACCAGGACTGAACCAGAACTGAAATAGAGCTGAACCAGGACTGAACGAGGACTAAACCAGGTCTAAACCAGGTCTAAACCAGAGCTGAACCAGGACTGAACCAGGACTGAACCAGGACTGAACCAGGACTGAACTGAGGACTAAACCAGGACCAAACCAGGACTAAACCAGAGCTGAAACAGAGCTGAACCAGGAGTAAACTGAGGACTAAACAGGTCTAAACCAGGACTGAACCAGAACTGAAATAGAGCTGAACCAGGACTGAACGAGGACTAAACCAGGTCTGAACCAGGACTGAACCAGGACTGAACCAGGACTGAACCAGGACTGAACCAGGACTGAACCAGGACTGAACCAGGACTGAACCAGGACTGAACTGAGGGCTAAACCAGGACCAAACCAGGACTAAACCAGAGCTGAAACAGAGCTGAACCAGGAGTAAACTGAGGACTAAACCAGGTCTAAACCAGGACTGAACCAGAACTGAAATAGAGCTGAACCAGGACTGAACGAGGACTAAACCAGGTCTAAACCAGAGCTGAACCAGGACTGAACCAGGACTGAACTGAGGACTAAACCAGGACCAAACCAGGACTAAACCAGAGCTGAAACAGAGCTGAACCAGGAGTAAACTGAGGACTAAACCAGGTCTAAACCAGGACTGAACCAGAACTGAAATAGAGCTGAACCAGGAGTAAACTCAGGACTGAACCAGGTCTAAACTAGGACTGAACCAGGACTAAACCAGGACCAAACCAGGTCTAAACTAGGACCTGAACCAGGACCTGAACCAGGACCGAACCAGGTCTAATCTTGGACTAGAACTTGGAAGCGCCTGAGTGTCTGCATAGCACAATCGGGCATCACCTGTGTTTAGCCTCGTGGTGCATGGAGTTCTGCGTCGGTCCTTTCACCCGCGGTCACCTGACGGTCTACACGGGCATGTCTCCGGCATTTCGCTGCTGATATCGCGGTGATTTTAGCAAATTTGCATGAAAAATAAAAAACCCACCACTTCAATGCAGGTTAAAAATGCATTGTAGCGCACGTTACTGACATTTGTACCGAGTAAAATATTACAAATTTTTCCCCTGTACTGCCGAACATTACCGCGTTACAGCAAAAAGCAACACATTACAGTAATTTGTTACTTTTATAACGCGTTACTCCAAACACTGCAAAGCAATAACGGATCCTCCACCGGAAAAGTGACACAGTGCACCTTTTTAAAATGTTTCTTTTTAAAATAACATTCAGATGTCTGTGTTTTTGTTTTGTTTTTTCAGATGTGATGTCCGCAGAGATCGGTTTCTGGACAGACGTGGAGGTCCGGACACTAATCGACATTTGGGCGGAGGAGGAAGTGAAAAAATCTCTGACGGGCGAAGTTCAGAACGGGCAGATGTATTCGAATATCATACAGAAAATGATGTCGCTGGGCTTCTCCAAAACCTACAACCAGTGCTGCTTAAAAGTCAAAGAGCTCAAGAACAATTTCCACCAGTGCTACGAAAGGAAGAAGTAAGAGTCTTTCTGTCTGTTTATGTCGAGTTTGGATTTTTCTGCTTCATTTTTTTTAAATTATGTATATTTTTGTGTGTTTTTAGGGCCGGCAAAGTGGTGGATTACAGGTTTTATGATCAGCTGGAGCCGATCCTGGAGTCTTTGATTGAAGATCCTGACGAGAAAGACGAAGAGGCGGAGAATCGTCCAGGTGCAGTACAGACATCAACACACAAATAATATATTCACCTCATTCCGGAAGGTGCTGAACCCAGGATTAGGGTTGTATTATTTTGTATGTTCAATACGGACAGAGAATCAGTGCAGTTTGACTTGTTGGTCACATGAAAACTGAATATTTTTACACAAATGAACCGACTTTATGTCATATTTAAGTTGCCAAACGTTTCCCAAATTCTGTATTGAAATGGACGGGATCCACGATTAACCGGCCACAACAAAAAAGGGCAATTTAGGAGCATTTAGAGACAATTTTAGGTTTAAGGAGTAAGGCAAAGTGTATTTATTTGCAAGTTTATAGTAAGTGTTGGTTTTAAGTTGGTTTATAAGTGATTTAATTAGACGGACTGAATGTATAAACAAAAATGATAATAATGAATTGGATTTGAATTTATATCGTGTCTTTCAAGCACTTCACATCGCATTATTCATTCAGTTCCTTACTTAGGGGTCACACCATTTTTAGTGCTGTCCCAATGTCCAGTGAGTGAAAAAAGTAGTGCACTCAAAACTTTCCCACAATTCACACAAAAGTAGTGTCCAGGGCTGGTCACTAGAACAGTCAATACAGACCACAGCGCACGGCGAGAATCAGAAAAAAACAAACTTAAATTAACTGGACACAACATTTGTAAATGACCAGAAGTTCCTGATCCTGATTCTGAATAAAACACTCAGCTTAGCTTCAGCTGACAAAAGATCGATAATTTTCACATCTCACACAAAAAAAAATCAAATAATCCAGTCTGACTGTTTGAGATCCAGCTTGACAAGAACTTGTATGATTGGTCCAAGTTACATTCTGTCACTTTAATAATTTAAAAAACCTCACATTAGTTTTCAAAAGTAAGAAAGCAATTGGAACTTTTGTGGATTTTTGTCATGTTTAATTTATAATTCTTTTAAACTGTTAATTAGACTTCTCATAGAAACACAGTGCATTTTTTTATTTTTTTTTATATTATTTGTTTATTAATTTTCCAAGACAATTATTACACTTACACATATGCAAATATTGTTTAAGGATCAAACATTGACTTAAACTTAATCTTCCAAATAAAATACAGATTTTTACTATTATATTGAAAAGAGAGAAAAGAAGGAATAAAAAAAAAAAAACATAATTTGGTAGCGAACACAGTGCATTTTAAACCCCCCTGTCTCTCTCTTTGTCTGTCTGTCTGTGTCTGTGCTGCAGTAGCCGACAGTGGGAGCACTGTGTGGACGGAGCCTGAGACCATCGCCTTCCTCCAGATCTGGGCCGCTGACGACGTCCAACAGAACCTCAAATCTTCTTTCCGAAACGGACGTATTTACGCCGAAATTTCAGATAAGATGTCCGGTCTGGGATTCCACAAGACGGCCGAGCAGTGCCACGACCACATCACCAAACTCAAGAAGAACTACAGGCGATACTGCAGGTGAGGGGCAGAACAAAAAAGTTATTACACTGTCAGAATGTTCTAGAATCAGGGGTGCAGTGGGGGTTCGCCGTCCGTCCACTTCTCCTGCATTATGTCTTGTCCGTTCGCAGGGGAGGCTCCCGTAGGAGTGTGTTCCCGTACCTTCACATCATGGCTCCGGTTCTGGGAGGTATGGGCTTCAATTCTGACGCCGACGCCGCGGCTTTCGACTCCAACCAGGACGTGTACGCGGAAAAGGACCAGGAAGTCTGTACGTACAAATACACACAGGAGGTTACATTTACTTTGGTTTGATTTTGTTACAACTTATCCATCAGATATAAAATGATCCCACGCTTCTGAGACTCCTGTGAGGCTCATTCTGTTTTCTGATTGGCCACGTTTACATGATGTTTTTTAATTCCGAATTAATTGTTCCAAATTAAATGTTCTGAATTGAGATTTACATGGAAAACACGTTAAATCGTCTTTATTTAATTCCCCTCAGCGTCTGGGGGTGGGGAAGGGTTCTGATTGGACAGACACACGAAGGTATTTACATTGACCAGAAGAAATCGCACACTTCAGCTGCTACCGGCTTTTCTATCATCTTGGTTTGTCATTACGCCACACAAACATGGCACAACCTTTTTTCGTGGTCGTTCCGATGATAACTGCTCAGCAACTGGAGAATTCTTTACGTCTGTCGGCCGAGGAGGAGAAGGGAAGAGTGTCGGAGAAGGGAGGAAGAAGACAAACTGAGTCTGAGGCTGTTCTACCTCAGCCCACTCCCGCATCCCGCTCACAAATCCAAAGAGACGTGGATGAAAGTCCGAAGCCAAGACTGGTGGAGCCGGATCGCGTCAGACACAACGAGCATGAAATACCAGAATTATTTTTAAGATAAGATAAATGTTTAGTATGTAGGCTGTCACGTTTAGTATCCAGTGCCTCCACTTAATTTTTGTTTCTCTCCAGTGACGAGGTCAGGAATCAGATGAATGTAGACGAAGACAGACATTCTGTGTTGGCAATATTCCTTAGATCGAGGATTTAAAGTCGGAACAAAGAAAATGTTTGGTGAATTTTATCAAGGGGAAAGACGTTATTGCCCTTCTTCCTACGGGATTTGGGAAAAGCTTAATATACCAGTTAGCCCCGTTAGCGGCGCATTTGACCAGAATTTGGCGCATTACATATGTCATGACCAAACAGCAGCGATTGGTTAAATAAAAAAAATACCCGCCTACCGTCGAGCAAACAAAATCTTATGATGCGAGGTCAGACGGTTTCTACAAAGTGAAACCAACTGATGAATCAGGCTGAACTTTTACATGGTCCAGGAATAAATTATTTTAGCTTTAAAATCGGAATAAACCCCTCACTTTCTTTGGAATGAAGTTTAATTCTGTGTAATTATTTTCATTAGGAATTAAATGTTTACATGGTTTTTTTAAAGCAGAATTAAATTTTTATTCAGAATTAAATTATTTTCATTTGGAATTAAAGCTCTGATGTAAACGTGGCAAATGTTTTAGTCCACCAATCCATCGGACACGTCTTTAGTCGACAAAGAGTTTCTTACTTTTACTTTTACATTTACATTTTCTTACTTTACATGTGTTTGGTGTTTTTGTTGTAGACGAGCAGCCCTCCACCAGTCAGCTGACGTCAGACCAGGGGAAGAAGGCCACGTGGTCGGACCAGGAGACCCGCCTCCTGCTGAAGATCTGGGGCGAGGACCGGATCCAGATGACACTGAAGGGCTCCTTGAAGAACCGCCACGTTTACGACCACATCTCCACCGCCCTGGGCGAGTACGGCTTCACGCGCAGCGCCGACCAGTGCTACACGCGCATCAAACGCCTCAAAGCCGGATACCACCACGAGAAGTCAGTCCACAACATCTGCTCTTGTTTTTGCTTAGATTTGGTTTGTAATAAGAGGAACTGCATGTAGCTGTTTTAAGGAGTTGATTTATTGTCATGTCAGCAGGACTTTTATTCCCCTATCATCTCTAAATCCCATGAATATTGATGCAGAACACATTTTTACAGTATAATTTTGATCTATTTTTGTCTAAAAATGGGAAGTAACATACTGTCCTATTGAAGAGGTCTACATACAAGATATTTCTTTAAAGGGACAGTCCAGAATTTTGGACGTAGGACCTCATTTTCTAGTGAACCAGAGAGTTGGAGACGTGTAGAGTCGCTTTTTAAAAAAATATTCCATCCACTCCTTGTATTTTTTACGCCAGAATGTCCTTTTGAATGTCTGTGTTGATAGAATGTTTGAAATAAAAGTAACCTTGCGTCTCATGAATCATGGCATGTTGAGGGACTATTTTCTCAGCAACCGCAGAGTTTTACCTCCGTTCATTTCATTTATTTATTTATTTGTACAACAAAATTCAAAAACAGTAACAAAAATAGTGATATGTACATGAACATATTTGGGACCTGGTGCTCAAAAGGAGTAGGATGAAGTTAAAAAAACGTATAGAGTCCTACCCCAATTTGCCGGTAAGACAGATGCGAGGTGATATCAGTCCGCCGCTGTCGAGCTTTCTATCAGGAAGTACAACTCGCTGCTGCTGCTCAGACATAAATCCTTCAAATTGTTGGTTTTACTTCTAAAATTATTCTATCAACACAGACATTTACACTGGAGTTGGTCCGATTCATCAGCCGGTTTCACTTCATGGAAACCGTCTGACCTCGCAGCATTAGGATTCGTTCACTTGACGGTAGACGGGTGCTTTTTTTATTTAATCAGTCGCTGCTGTTTGGTCATGATGTATGTAACGCGCCAAATCCTGTAGGAAGAAGGACAATAACGTCTTTCCTCTTGATAAAATTCACCAAACATTCTCTTTGTTCCAACTTTAAATCCTCGATCTCAGGAATTGCTGCCAACACAGAATGTCTGTCTTCGTCTACATCCATCTCGACGCTTTGTTTACTGTTGTGTTGTTCCACAAAAGGGACCCAGACACTTGAGTTTGACGTCATGACTTCACAGCTCTTCGTTGATTGGCTTGTGCGCGGTCTACAACCTCCGGGGTTCTTACAAACCGTCTAGTGTATTCTGATTCCTGACCTAGTTGCTGGAGAGAAATGAAATTGAGTGGAGGCACTAGTGTGGAGTGGGTAAGACTGTTTTTAGTGGCAGGATAACTATGGCCATTGACATATTGACCTCTGCAAATACAAGAACTGGATGGAATATTTAATAAAGCGTCTCCACACGTCTCCAACACTCTGGATCACGAGGAAATGAGGTCCCATGTCCAGAATTCCAGACTGTCCCTTTGTGGTGTGGTGTTTGTCAACATGACTCACTGTCTTGGCTGTGGCTCTGTGGTCCTCTGCTTCAAATAAGTTTCCATTTCATAATGTTTGGACACTCCTGATCTAGTATAAATATCATCTGTAAATACATTTCCTTAATCCTAACATAATAAATGAGTGCTTTGAGTATTAAAGTATTTGCTTATTTGTTTTCCATCAGGACTGACTTCAGGTACTACAAGGAGCTGCAGGAGATTCTGCAGAAACAGCCCAAAGCCGCCGACGCTTCGTTTGAGGAGGTGCCCCTGCCTGACATGAGCCTCCCAGATCTGTCCTTCTCCGACATGTCCTTCATAGAGGACCCAGACCCAAACAAAGGTGAGCCCAGGTTTAGAACAAAAATAAAGAAAAGGGGCTTAATGTAAATGGAAACTGACTAAATCTGGAGATATTTTTAATAATGGAGACCAGATTCAAAGCTCCAAAGCTCCTGGATAAATTAATTTGTAGGATCATATCTACCATTTCTTACACATCCGTCACTAGTTCATATTCGAGTCGTTTTCGTTGTGGATGCAGTGTTCGTCCACACTAATCCGATTGAAAACGGCTCCAGAGACGGAACGATCTGGTGCCTCCAGCTCCCACGAATTCACCTGAGTACAGATCTGATCCGGCACCGTGTGGACGCCTGAAAACGCTGATACACTGATGTACGTTTATGCGCCGCGAAGTAATTCACAGCCAAAACGCTAAGAGGCTAGAATATATGTCCATTCATATAAACGTGTGTCTGTGTGTGCGACCTGCAGACGTATCATCTCTGAAAACTTGAACATGAACCATCTCCAACACGACAGAAACACAGAACAGACTCACCATCAGCAGAACACTAGCCTGATTCATCAGCCGGTTTTACTTTGTTTCACTTCGTACAAACCGTCTGACCTCGCAGCGTTAGGATTCGTTCGCTCGACAGTAGGCGGGTACTTTTTATCATTTAACCAATCGCTGTTATTTGGTCGTGACGTATGTAATGCGCCACTAACGGGGACTAACTGGTATATTAAGCTTTTCCCAAATCCCGTAGGAAGAAGGACAATAACGTCTTTCCCCTTGATAAAATTCACCAAACATTCTCTTTGTTCCAGCTTTAAATCCTCGATCTAAGGAATCGTTGCCAACACAGAATGTATGGCTCTTCGCTGATTGGCTGGTGCCCGAACTCGCACTTCCGGGGTTTTTGCGAACCGTCTAGTGTATTCCGATTCCTGACATAGTTGCTGGAGAGAAATGAAATTGAGCGGAGGCACTAGGTGGCACCAGCCTGGCCAAACAGAACACCCCTCTGTCACAGAAAGAACAGCCATATTCCACTGAGTCGTGTCCTTTAGTCCGACAGAAGCTGAACCGCATCAGCGCATGTGGTTTTAAGTTTCGTTTCTGTAAATCGTAAACAAATATGCTCAAAGCTGTGTGGATAGGGAAGACTCGCGGACACAGAAACGACGTGTCTGGATGCAAATCTTTTCCGATACAGTGATTTGTTTCAGTGTAAACGTAGCCTTGGTTAACAATTATTGGGGAAAAAAAGGTTTTGTTTTGAAAAATATACACTATATGGAACTCAGTGAAAATGCTTCGGACTCAGATCAGTTCAAGATTCTTGTTTGAAACTGAAACATCGCAACAGTCCAGCTTCCAGTGCAAGAACATTTATGTACAAAATTAGCTGCAGCGCCATAAAACTAAAGCAAATCACTCAGTTTTTCTTCACATTTTCTTAAACAGCACCAGACTAAAGTTCAAATCTTCCGTGAATGACCCGTGTGTGTGTGTGTGTGTGTTTAGGTGTGTGGACTGGCGACGGCACGAAGGTGATCTGGAGCGACAAAGAGACTAAAGTTCTGCTGGAGATCTGGGCGAGCGAAGGCGTGCAGCAGAACCTGAAGGGAAACACTAAGAACAAGCACATCTTTGAGCAGATCTCCAGAGCCATGATGAGTCACGGGTACATGCGCAGCGCAGACCAGTGTCAGAGCCGCATCAAGAGGCTCCGAGCGGGCTTCAAGAGCGCCATCGACGGACGCAAGTGAGTATTACACCTGTCAAAAGTACACGAGACTAATGTTTACGAACAAAACTAGTTGAGTAGTTAGTTGATTTTTATGGCATTAAATCATAAAAAGAAACAGCCCTAGTTAAATTTGCCTTATTAGAAAGTTTTTTATTGCCTGTGTCAAAGTTAATCAAAGAAAGTACATCGTTTGCGAGTTATTGGCAACACGCTCCGCTCTGTTCTCTGAAAGTTGGATGGATCTGGTATCAGTGAGCCGATATCTGGTGGTGATGTAATGAGGCTTTTTACTGGCTGGTGTTTTTCCAGAACGTCTCGTAAAAGTTTCAACTTTTCGGTCGTTATTTGAAGAATGAATAAGTCACTGGATCCATTTTGTTAATGAGATTGTTCTAAATTACCCAGTAAAACATTTAGATCAGTAACTGTTTATTTACATCTGGCATTCACAGGCACAATGTTTATGTTGTCACTGTTACCATGGTGACTTGTGGCCAAACTGCTGTAGTTTAATATTTTTACCTTTAACCTGTCTAAGGCTGCGTTCAAACTGCAGCCTGAAGTGACCCAAATCCGTTTTTTTTTTGGTCCCTATGTTCCTGTATCTGATCTTTTAATGATCTGATTTTTTCAAATGTGACCCAGGACACTTGGATATGTGCTCCTAAAACCGATACATATCTGATCTTTTGACATGTGACTTCAGTGTGAACGACCAAAGTGCATTCATCCACCTACACGTTATCAACAAGACACAAACGTCACTATTCTGAGCTGAAGTAGGCGAAAATTGTTAATGAACTCCGTGTCACTGAAGTGAAGCACATCACCACTCACCACTCTTGGCTCCGTCTCCACATCCACACGTTCCTTTCAATGCACTAACCCACAAAACACCACGACCAAAAACCTCGTCCTTCTCCTTCTCAATCTCCTCCTTAAAACAAGTAAGTTGTTCATGTTCTGGCTCCGGTACGAGAGGAACTTTAAAATCTCCAGGTGCTCGATGCTGCGTCCATGTTTGGACAACTTCAGTAAACACAGAGACGCTCGCTGCGGTTGACGTCGTCGTGTCTCCAGTGTCACATGTGGGACACTTTTGGGCCGTTTAATGTTCACACTGGAGTCACATACAAGTCACATTTAATTGGAAATGTGAACGACCTCGCAAAAACATCGGATTTCACACAAAAAATCTGAATTGAGCGTTAAGACCTGCAGTCTGAACGTAGCCTAAGTCTGCATGACAGAGATACCAGATGAAAAGATCGTTCAGACAAAATCAAACAATCAGCTAAAGGATTGAAGACAGGACATTAAAAGCTCCAAAATCTGTTCCTGTGTCCATTTACTCTGTGACTGGAGAATTGTTTGGATGAAGTGTCCCAGTACACGGTACACAGTCCTCCCTAGAAATCACCAACAAAGATAATTGTATTTGATGGAAATAAATGCTTTTCGATCTTGCATTGATATCGATTTAATATTGATTAGACTAGACCAGATATGTCAAACTCAGATCAATTATCAAATATGTATTAGAGCTGACCGCCGGATACAGATCGACTATAGAGACATTATTTACTTAAAATTGATGTTATTATTTTATATTAAGTTTGTTCTGGAGTCAATGTTTAAGCAAAACTATTATTAAACATTTTTTAGATTTAACATTACTTATCTCAAAAGAAGAGAAAACATGCAGATTTTTCAATAAATATTTAATTTGGCCCATGATTTAGTTCCAGTTTTTAATTTTAGCCTCTGTGAATTTGAGTTTGACCCTCCTGGACTAGAGTGTCACCTTATACTTGTAGCTAAAATATCGGTATTGGTATCGTATCTGAAAAGTCTGGATTGTGCCTCACGTGTTTTTGATGTTTGTGTATTTTCAGAGGAGGAAAGCAGGATGTGAAGTACTTCAACCATCTGGTGCGAGCGTTCGGAAACAAGTACCTGAACTCTACGACGGAGGAGGCAGTAGCCGAGGAAGGAGGTGAGACTGACGAGAACTGTGATTATTATCAGTCCATGATTTGATCTGAGCATCATCTATGACAGAAATCAAACTTTACCGGAGTTTAGCTTTTAGACTTTTCTCACCCAGACTCCAGAGTCAAATGTCTCTGATTGAGACACTGTATATTTCACTAAATGGTGCAGGACTGTGTAGTGAATGAGCGGTTAGGGCAGGAGTCTCCAAACTTTTTACTTCAGTGAGCTGCTTTTAACAAACAAAATGCCAGAGAACTACTCATTTTAGTGTTTTTAAGAAATTTAGTACATATAAAAATCACAGCAAACACATAAACCATAAACTATTAACCATTTAAAGTGGGAACCCTGTAAATATTTTAAAACTCTTTGAATCTGGAATCTGCTAATTTTCACTCATTTTTTTTTTTTGTTTCAGTTTCAGATTATTGAAACATCTCATCACCACACAGCCATAGAGAAGACGCAGAAACCTCAACCTCGAAGATACTAAAAATCAGTTTCTTGTTTACAGAATTGCAATGCATTTTATTTGTTCACACGGCTCTAGCCTTTTTTTTAAAAAACGCGTACTGTTCGAAAATTGGCCTTAACTTCAACGAAAACGTGAGCTAACGGAGTCCGTCCTACTAAAAACGAGTGTCAATATCCTGTAGCATCCGGCTGCATTTTGAAACCTGGTACCTAATTTTTAACTGTATGATTTTAGAATGGAATGTGTTCTATGTGCAAGTATTCAAATTTTATCTTTTTTATTTAATTAATTATTATTTATATTTATTATTCATATTTTAAGCTGGTCTCAAACATTTCAGTTACATCACTACTACAAGTTCAAACTATATATATTTGTAATTCTTTGTCGCTTAAAAAAAAGGTTTGTAGCTTTTCCAGCGGAGCGCCCGTCGCCCGTTTTGGCCCCGAATGTCCCGCAGCGTGGCATTAAACGCGCCCGTCCATCTATCTATGACACTACTGGGTTACCGCTATGTTACAGGCCGCGTCGGCGGAGGGCGCGAGTCGCCGCGTGTTTTTGTCCGAGGTCATTTTTTTCCAGCAATAAAAAAAAACAAACACCTGTACTTGAATAAATGCAAGGCGCGCTTAATGCCACGCTGCGGGACATTACAAACGTCTAGGAAAACGGAAAACGGAACGCCCGCTTCCCCCACCCCCCCCGTCGCTCTACCGCCCGAAAAGTTACAAGCCGAACGCCAAAATCCTGTCTCCGAACAGATTTGTTTTAACTCTGCCACAGATTTTTACATTTGTTCATTTGTCATTTGAAACACTGGTTAAAAGTTGCTTGACAATTCTCTTTATATCGACTTGACTCGAACTACCTGCTCTAAAGGAAGCATTTTATCTGAATGGTTATTGTCCTCAATGCTTTTGTAAGACCAATAAAGGCTTCACTGTTTATAACTTTCCTGAATTTGCGGGTTTTAATATTTACAATTGCGTTTACAAGTCTCGACCACTTGGGGGTGCTATTGTCTGTGTATAATATTATTGTACTTGCTTGTTTCTTATTCTTAGCAGAGGAAAAAGTAAAGTTAAGTATGCAAATAACTAAAGCTGTTTCAATTTATTTTGTAGTAAAATAATAAATATATATTACTTTGTGCATTTTTTTTTATTCATTCATTATGTAGTTTGAGCATTTTCATTAATATTCTATAAAAAAAGGTCATAAATTGTGATGATGAAGCAAAATATTCTATGTTTTGAAGAGAAAAAGTCTTAAAAATATTGCTTATTATATGAAGCTGATACCCATAAAGATATACATTAGGTTTTTATATGTAAAATTTAGAAGTTTAGTTTTTAAGTCACTATACAGTCTGAGCATTTTCGACACTATCCATGTGTTTTGGAATGATTTAAAAAAAATTTAATTTGACAATTTTTGCAAGGCAAGTTTATCTGTATAACACAATTTGTAAACAAAGTAATTCGAAGTGCTTTACAGAATAAGAAATACATTAAAATCTAAATATAAACAAAACATAAATAATCATCATAAAATTAAAGATTAAAATTAAAAAAGAGAGGGAGAGACATTAATTACATAAATTAGAGAGAAAACTTTTCAGTCATCTGCAGCTAAACTGAACAGTTTTGAACCTGGATTTAAACAGAGTCAAAGTCGAGTCTCACATGTTCAGACTGTTCGAGGTTTTAGCTTCATGAACCTGAAACTCTGACTCTCCGTGTTTAGTCGTGACTCTGGGACCAGCAGGAGGTCGGTGCCTGAGCTCCTCAGAGTCTGAGATGGTTCATATGACACTAACATGTCAGAGATGGACTTTGGTGCTCGGTTCTGGAGAATGAATGAATGAATGAATGGTTTATTCGGCCAGTAGAACATGCAAACTGAATATAAATACATGGATATAACACATAAAGTAAATATTTCTTTTCTGTAATAATAAGTGAAAATAAATGTCACGCAGATTTTACTTGTGTCTGAAAAAGGAGTGGGAGGAAGTAAAAACTTATTTAACCCCACCCCTTTTTTCTCCTGTCCCTAATTAACTAAGAACATATAAACTTCTCATTTCCTGTACAATATAAACTATAATTCACAGGACCCACATTTCAGTACAAATCTAACAACAACAAATATATGTATATTATGTACGCAGTTATTATATATCATATACACAGGTATAATACACACATACATATATATACATATATTTATATATATATTTATATATGTACCCACATATATAAAAACGTAAACATCCATCCATTTTCTTCCACTTATCCGGGGCCGGGTCGCGGGGGCATCAGTCTAAGCAGGGACTCCCAGACTTCCTTCACCCCAGACACTTCCTCCAGCTCCTCCGGGGGAACCCCGAGGCGTTTCCAGGCCAGCGTGTCCTGGGTCTTCCCTGGGGCCTACGTAAACGTAAACTTTAATTTATATATATAGATATATATATATCACACATGTACATTAAGCACTAATTTCTTCAGCACAGTATTTTGAAATAATCCCTTTTTTAACTGCACTTTTGAATACATGTATATTTGGACAAAGTTTTAGTTCTGTTTTCATGTTGTTCCATAATTTTACACCACAAACAGAGATACAAAAACTCTTCCTTGTCATTCAAGCACAAGAGACTTGTACAAGCAGAGCTGTTTTAAAGTCTATTCTCTGAGCCACAGGAGCCAGTGCAGAGACCTGAGCACAGGACTTATGTGCTCGTACTTCCTAGTTCGAGTCAGGACCCGAGCTGCAGCGTTCTGGATGTTCTGGATGTTCTGGATGTTCTGGATGTTCTGGATGTTCTGGATGTTCTGGATGTTCTGCAGCGTCTCACAGCTCGTTTGGAGAGACCAGTGAGCAGAACATTACAGTATCTAACCTACTGGAGACAAACGCATGGATAAGTTTCTCCAAGTCTGATTTAGACAGTAAACCTTTGAGTTTTGCTATTTTTGCTGCAGATGTTATTGATTTGATGTGGCTGTTGAAGTTCAAGTCTGAGTCCATTATTACCCCGAGATTTCTTGCCTGATTTGAAGGTTTTAGAGAGAGAGACTGGAGGTGACTGCTGACACTGTCCCTTTGTTTCTGTGGACCAAACACTATGACTTCAGTCTTGTCAGAGTTTAGCTGGAGAAAGTTGTTTTGCATCCACACACTGATCTGTTGGATGCAGTGACCAAGTGAGTCCACTGGTCCATAGTCTCCTGCTGCCAGAGAGACGTAGATCTGAGTGTCGTCTGCATAATTGTGGTAGGACACGTTATTGCTGCTTATTAACTGGCCTGTAGGGGGCAGCATGTAGAGATTGAACAACAGGGGGCCCAGGATTGACCCCTGAGGCACCCCACAGGTCAGGGCCATGTGATCTGAGACACAGTTTCCAATTTCGACAAAATACTTCCTGTCTTCTAGATAGGACTAATGGAATAATACAAAATTAATTAATTAATAAAATAAATAAAAAAAAAGGGGACAAATTTTGAAGTATTTTATCTTTTGAATGAGGAGAAAGTCCACAAAATGTTGCTTAGAACAGGAAGCTGAAACACATCATGGGAATACAGGTTTTTACGTGTTAAATTTTTGAAGTTTTTGTATTAAGGATTTGCGTGTGAAGTGGCAGTCACATGATTTCATGTTTTGGCGTCCGTACTGGAGGTCAAGACTGGAATTATTCAGTTTATTTCAATATAATCATGGCGACTTTTAAACAGCGCAAACGACATAAAACTGTTAGAAATCGCAGCTCGTTAGATCAGCGTCATTAGAAAGGTGTAAAGCTAAAGTCGTCCTCCTGGGTTGTGGAATAGATTCCGATCTAATTCCGATGGAGCTTTGTCAGTTTAATCAACACTCGCTCTGTGCCCGACCTTTAGTCTCCAGATATTTACAACTACTTCATTCAGTCGACATCGTCCTACACCAACCAAGAACTGAAGCTCATAAATATTTTGTAGCGGGATGCGTGAGAATTTTGTTGATCACTTAACATTACTTCTGTTCCTGATAACAGCAAGGGGAAGCAGAATGGGGGTCAAAATCAGAGCTGGAGCGACCTGAGACGGTGGGACTAGGAGGCCGGGGTGGGGGGGGGAGTCCTTACCGGTTAAAATGAGGATGGGGAGTGGGTGGGGGAGACATTCCGTGCTGGTACATCAGCGAGAAAAATGACTCATCCATCTATTTATAATTTCATTTACTGTTTATCCCTTCTTCGTTTGAGTGGGGATGGTCCCTCACCGGAAATGAAATGTTGACTGCACAGATGATTGTTCTCAGTGGGCTCCATCCCTTTCTCTTTATGTCGCTCTCCACCTCTGCCTGCGGTCTTTATCAGCCGGGATCCGACAGAAACATACTTTGGCCTCCTTCTTTAGCAGATTATTTGGATGACAGAACATCCAGTAGCAACACAGGTCAAAACCATTGTTATTCAGTTCAGATTTTATCGCACACAAATACGACACGTTGGTCCAGATGGATCGTTTGACTCCAATATGACGACATCGACACCAGGTCACGTGGTTTTGTGACGTAAACACATTCAAACTTAAGAAAAAGTATTTGGGGAATAAATGAACAACCCCGAAAACGTCCATCGGGAGTCTGTGTGTGTGTGTCTCTTGTGTGTGTGTGTGTGTGTGTGTGTGTGTGTAGTTTATATCTCTCGTGTGTCTATGTGTGTATGTCTCCCGTGTGTGTCAGTGTGTGTGTGTATGTCTTGTGTGTGTGTTTCTCTCGTGTATGTGTGCGTATGTGTATATATCTCCCATGTGTAGTGTAGTGTATGTCTGTTGTGTGTGTGTGTATGTCTCTCATATGTGTGTGTGTATGTGTGTGTATGTGTGTGTATGTCTCCCGTGTGTGTCAGTGTGTGTGTTTCTCTCTGGTGTATGTGTGCATGTGTGTAGTATAGTGTATGTGTGTGTGTGTGTACAGTGTGTGTGTACAGTGTGTGTGTGTACAGTGTGTGTGTGTACAGTGTGTGTGTGTGTGTGTACAGTGTGTGTGTACAGTGTGTGTGTACAGTGTGTGTGTGTGTGTGTGTGTGTACAGTGTGTGTGTGTGTGTACAGTGTGTGTGTGTGTGTGTGTACAGTGTGTGTGTGTGTGTGTGTGTGTACAGTGTGTGTGTACACAGTGTGTGTGTGTACAGTGTGTGTGTGTGTGTACAGTGTGTGTGTGTGTGTGTACATGTGTGTGTGTGTGTGTGTGTGTGTACAGTGTGTGTGTGTGTGTGTGTGTGTGTGTGTGTGTGTGTACAGTGTGTGTGTGTGTACAGTGTGTGTGTGTGTGTGTGTGTGTACAGTGTGTGTGTGTGTGTGTGTGTACAGTGTGTGTGTGTGTATGTGTACAGTGTGTGTGTGTGTGTGTGTGTGTGTACAGTGTGTGTGTGTGTGTGTACAGTGTGTGTGTGTGTGTGTGTGTGTACAGTGTGTGTGTGTGTGTACAGTGTGTGTACAGTGTGTGTGTCGTGTGTATTTGTGGTGTCAGAGTCAGTGAGTCTGAGCGACTCTATATGAGGCAGAGTCTAAACTGAGCTGTGGACGAGTCGTGTCAGACTCTGGTCACAGCTCCAGACTCAGTCTGTGTTTGGATCTGAGCACTGAGGGACTTTAATGCCACACTGCGGAACACTCCTGGCAGAGCAGTAACATCTCCATGGAGACTAGCAGGCACATTTAAAGGGACAGTCTGTCATTTTGGACATAGGAGCTCATTTCCTCATGATCCAGAGTTGGAGACGTGTGGAGACACTTGTTTAAATATTCCAACTCTCTGTCCCTTTGATAAAAACTCGTCCTGTGGAGTTTTAGGAGCAGCTGAGCTCCTTCAGTCTGTGTGTCACTCGTTCATTCATTTTTCAATATAAAACCAAAAATAAGAAAAAAACAACAGTTTTCTTCATTATTTGTCTCCAA